TATGATAGCTGTTTTCGGTATGTCGTCAGTAGCCATAGGGATTTGGTTATACGCTTTAACCAAGTCGATTTTCGAAAAGACAGTTGTATCTTTCAAGGTAGCTGTCAAATCGTGAATGTGAGGCAACGGGTAACGATCGGGAATGGTTTTCGCGTTCAATCGCCGATAGTCACCAGTTGGACGCCAATCGTTGCTATCCTTTTTAGGGACCATGTGCAACGGAGATGCATATGGGCTACTTGACGGTCGTATGATTCCTAAGTCCATCATGTGATCGAATTCGTTTTTCGCTAACCTTAGCTTTTCAGGAGCTAGTCGTCGTGCTTTAGAGAATACAGGTGGTCCTGTAGTCGTGATGTGATGTGTAACATTGCTGGTTACACACGGTAGTTTCGGTTGAGTTTGTTGTATCCCAGGGTACTTATCGAGTAGTGGTTGATAGAGTGGGTCTATCATATGTTTAACTGTGACTGGGGATACTCTACAACCAGTAAAAGAAGTTACGCAAACGGACAAATTAGTGTTTCCGTCTACTAGCCTCCGTTTGCGCGTGTCGATGATCAGATTGTGGTGTTGTAGAAGGTCCATACCAATGATTGGCATAGAAACATCTGCAACAACGAAAATCCAGTGGATGGGTTTGCGTAAACCCACGTTAAGGTAAACGTACCTTTTGCCATACGTAGCGATCGGTTTTCCGTTTGCCGCCTGTAAGTTTAGGGTCGATTCGTGTAGTCGGTCGTTAGGATTTGCTGGGAGAACGCTAACTTCTGCGCCAGTGTCGACGAGGTAACGAACTCTCGTTGTCACATCTGTGACGAATAACAGACGGCTTTGTTCGCCGGCTACGGTTGCCGTTAACGCGTGCCGGCTTGGAAGTTTCCCGAATTGCTTTTCGAATCAGTCGGTTTCGTGTTGGGAAAATTGCAGGGTTTTCTGCAATTTCTGGAAAACTTTCCATACTGGTTATGATACCAGCACCAGTCGGGGTTATCTGTCTCTCGTGGCCTAGAGACAGATTGCTTACGTGAAATGCTTCTACGTGGTGTGCGCGATCTCTTACGGTCGGTACGAAGACTAAGATAACGCGTGAGTGTGTGACATAAGTCGTTTATATCATTCTGAGTCGTTTGAGGTTTTTCTTTGACTGAAAATACCTCGGTAGTAGATTTCGTAATTTCTAAAATGCGGTCAGCAGATGCAGCTAGCTCGTCTAAGGCATTGTTCTGGAACGAGACCAGAACTGCTTGCACCTGTTGGGGAAGTTTTGACAAGAAGAGTTGTTTGAATAGGCCTTCGTCGAAAGTTCTTGGGCCTATTACCTCTCTCATCCGTTGCAACATGTCTGTCGCAGAACCGTGTTGCAGGTCGATATTGTTGAAGAGTTGATCTAACCTTTGTCGATCGGTTAGGTCTCCTCGTTTAAGAATCGAGCGTTTTAAGATTTCGTGAGGATCGGAAACATCACTAGTAAACATACTAGGTGTTACGTACCTGTTGAATTCGCGCGGTAGTGCCTTGACTACTGCGAGGAATTGCGCACGTGTGTCGATCACGCCGTGCTCAGAGAAGTCGGCTTCTGCGTAGCAAAACCAGGCTTCGATGTTGTCGGGCCAGAAAGGCATGAGTTGAAACGAAGGCGGGGACAAAGTCTTAAGCTTGAGTACTTTAGGTGTCTGTTCAGTCATGATGAAGTATGAAGTACGATAATGAACAAGGGGAAAATATATATATCCAGGAAAAAACACGAAAAAAAAATCACAATGTTTAAAAAAGTTTAAAAAAAAAATAAGGCAATGATATATAAAAATCCCAAAAAGGAACAGACTCACAGTTGCAATTAGGTGTACCAGATCACGTCGGTTTCACCAATGATGATGTCACAGGTATTCAGTGTTTGACAACGCTTCTACCAGTAACACCTTCTAATATATTTCGTTCCCGCCCAGAGAAATCAAAAGACAGAGTCGAGGAGATCGGAAGAGTATATTTGGCGATGACCAATATATCGGAATTCTCTGATCTAATCTGGCTAGCGATTGCGGTTGATGTTAAGCACGGCGTTACCACACGTGATCTGGTCCGGATGCCTGACCGAGCGCCTTCAGCTAGATGAGTCCACTAAAACATATGGTCAGCATCCAATGTAGAAAACTTAGTACTATTTATTTTGGGGATTTATTTACCGCTACAATATAAAATACGAATCACTGACTGGGTTGATTTACGAATAATCGGCGAGTAGATGAGGCCAGACATCAGATATATACATATCCATGAGCAAATGGAAATGATACACTTATTCAACACGCTTTTATTTGTCCTTAGTGAAATATATTTACGTCAGCCTATAGATCATAAGGGACCGCGTTATATTACCATCTCTAGGTCACTGATCGGCACTACCATTATCGAGATATTCTGAGAAAATACAAAAAGTCTTCAATCTGGGATCCATGTGCACCCCTATCATTACATGCCATCCTTCGAGCTGAATGTACACTACCGCAGAAGATAATTCACGGTATATAAGGTAATAGGTACGAAGTGGTGAAGGACAATAAGTTGACGCGGAAAGACTGAGTAGACGACATAGTTCAGGAATAAAGTCGTGGTTGTAGTATATACATCTGTCGTCTTCATACTAAACATGTTGGTATGTCAGCAAGATTGCATTCATTTCTTAAACGTTCTACAAGAGAAGAGGATTCTAACTACCAAGATAATGGGAGTTGAAGTAGATAGTAATATAGCTTCGACAAGAGATCTTATCGATTTGACAGTCACATCATGATCATTCAAATATATTAGAGTTGAGCTATTAATCTAGTAGCATAAAATAGATATCCATAGGTGAGTTGTCAATAAAACGTTATAAAAATGAACAGAAACCTGTCGGATATAGTGTTAGGATAGGTATCAATTATCTTATTTAAGTAGAAAGGATTGACTCTTCGTGAACGACCTCCTCGAGTCTAATGAATAAAATGGAGATAATGTGGATAACAATAATAACATTTTTGCCCCAGCACGTACTTCATTATGCAGGTATGATCAATAATTTACAACATGGGTTTATAGATAGTATAGGACTCATGTAGGGTTATTAATTAAATAAAATCAATGTGAATGACCGGTAGAGTACACATCCAGTGAGTTATTAAACAAGTTTTTGCGTTAGTACTGTACTATAAGTTTCCACTTGTTATGGTTCAATCTTAAATTGCACCGCCCCCAGGCTTTGACTTTGGTGAATGCATATCTGGTCCAAACTCGTCATTCACGAATTATGGTACCGTTAAGTATTTATATAACTAAACTGTCTCACAAGTTTGTGTTTTTTATAAAGTAAATTTTGAAAGGCGTTTTGGATAAGCTGTGAATATAACCAAAGCGTACATTAGGCTTATGTTTCAGGTGTAAGAACCTCCATCACTGTGCAATGCTCAAAAAGTAAGGAAACAAGAGAGAGTCAACCGTCGACTTATTTATTCGAGATTTAAAGAAACAAATAAACCGATCGAAACCACCCCCATCAATACCAACAAATTCGGAATGCTACCGACAAACAGTAATTATACTCTTTCTACTTTGTTCTTCCTGGGTGACACTAGAAGGATACCCTTCGTCACTTTGACCACACAAAAAATCATCTCAGAGCATTAGACCTGTGGATCTGGATTTACATAATGACACATGCCAAATGAACTTTAAAATAAGATGTTTTATCGTCCTTAATCATGAAAACTTTTGACAATGTACCTAACTTAGAACAATAAGGAGAATCACCCGACTCTATCTTGCCGCCTTTGTCAGGTTCAAAATTTAATGCTAACATTTCTAGTTGTGGTTTTTGAATTGCTTTGGTCATAGGTTATCACTGTTTGCTATCAATGTCTTATATTATTAGATGCAAACGCACCCCATATGGTTAGTGAGTTGTCGGCTAATATTTTCTTTTGTCCTTACCTTTTCCATCTTTCCTTAAGCATACAACTCTAATGTACTTTCAGGCTATACTGAAAACCTGAAAAACGGTATGTACCTACCCGTTGAGCGACTTTAAGATAGAACACCATCAATAAAACAAGTGTTTCAACTCCAAGTCAGTGTCCTATCTCGATAATCAAAGACTGATATAATCTATTATCAATTTTAATGCAGCTTGATTGTGTGGTATACAAAACATTAAACTACTAGATAGTGCGGTTCTGTTAAATGGTACATAACTCTAGTAACGAATTTTGTTCCATTCAGAGTATATTTCATTAATAATGCAGGTAATTTCTCTGCAAACTAACTGCTGATTACAGTAGATGTACAACACAAGCCTCATGTATCGACACATAGATCCATATTGTGTTTACATACGGAACACAGGTCAAGGCACATCACATGGTAATGATAGAAAGAGCTTGATAATTGTGGTTGGCTTTGTATTAGTAAAAACTGCAGTCCTAAATCCATATGGTGGTTTTTTTTAAAACCACCTGTACATTGAATGCTTTTATAACTTAGACATTCCATGGTTAAGAAACTAAACTTGGTAAATATAATAACACCTAAAATAACTAAAGATATGGAATACACAAATGATCAGTATACCAGAAATCACAGAACTTATGGAATATGCTGTTAGCTGGCATGAGGAATGTTTTGATTTTAAAAAAATAATTGTAATATATAATATCTTCCAGGAGTAGTGCCTAAAAGACTTCATCAATGCTTGACATCACAAAAACGAAAGATATCACGATGTTTCTCAATACCTTCAGATTCAGTGTATGCTTTTCAGAAAACGACCTACCATATGAATATAATTCTTAAGTAGGTTAGATATATTATACACACTAAATAATCTAAGCTTTAAAAAATACAGACGCCATAAACATACAAATGTTGATTATGGTTTTTTACTCATAACCAATAACCTGGAGTTTGATATAAAATGATTATGTCACATCACATATACTCCGTTTTGAACACATTACTAAAAAACTAACACATGAACAATAAGTTCTTTAAACTATGAATGAAAAGAGATCAGATAACATAATGGTTTCAAGTTTAAGAAAAAATATTGTCACAAAACAATTAGATTTAACATGACTTATTCAACAAGACTATCTAAATAGTATACAATGAACAACAATCATCGTGAAATTAGGCATAAAATCTTGTTAAACAATATTAAAACTGCTTACACTACATTGTACACTCATTAAGCATTATAAAGTAAGATCAATTCACAACAGTAACAACTGATGAAGAACTAAAATACGGTTTTATTTCACTTAAATTTCAGAGAAACGATGTACATTTGACAATTCAAAAAGGGTATTTACTATATTTGAATGAGAATAAATATAGTATTACCAATAGGAACTATAAAATATGGTAAATATACGAGCAAACTCTTATTTAATACCATCATTGTACATTAATAAAGGCAAAATATAGATGGATTGTGTAAAGGAACTTACATATGTTAACAAAAATGTTGGTGATTATGTAACATATGTAATAAAAATGTTGCATAATGGAGTGATCGGATTTTCATTTATCCAAAAGACAGAAACAAGAGAGAAATGAAAAGAAAATTTACAATGACTAAGCATGAATATAATTAAACTGCAGAGTTAACAGTCAGTTAATTAAAGAGACATGAAACCAAGACAAATAAATTATTAACAGACTAAGGGAAGACAGGATGAACAATACGATTGTATTCAGTAGAAAAAGAGAATAAAAATGTACACACAAAGAAAGAAACAATAGGATGTTTCAAGAATATACAGAGGATGTTTTTAAGATGATATTTCCGCAGCATTAATGGTTTGCGAAATGGCAATGGCGGAATAAAAAATAAAAAAACTGAAACTAGTCCAGTGATATAACGCGAAAATAAGGGAAGTTTTTATTGTTATATTTACCACGAAATCACAGCCTGCACAAAATATTGTGGACAATCCCTATTTGAATATAAATAGAAAATGGTAGGACGTTCCAGTGATAACAATAAACGAAGAGGATGAAAAATGATATTTGATCGTAAATCAAGGACATGAAGAACTATCATCGGAAAGCTATGAAAGCAAAAAAAAATTGGATTGCTATAATCTGGTTATTTGAACATGTTAGATGAAAATCTAGTGAGAATATTAGGGGAAACCGTAAATATTAAATAAGAAATAGTGTAACAGTCTACAGGTCAGTTGTTTAGACAATATAATTTCAGCGCCCGGGACTTTATTCTATGTATTATTTGTCATGATACACATTACAAATATATAGCTCGTTCCTTTCTGGCGTAGCATACATTACCAACTAACTATCACAACAAGGATAATATCAACTGGGAAAATGGTAAACTCACACTTCATATTTATTAAAACACCTACACGTGAGTGATCTTTCTTTATTATTTTTATTAGTGAGGAAAGAACCTGTAATTCTTCTGATTTTGCGGAAGTAGGGGGCTACTAATAGGTGATTTGTGTGATAGAAGTATGTTTCATAATGAAAATACTAATGAATTAGAACCAGACATTTGCATGTTAGTTAAATTTTAAACATGTATACATAAACACAATTACCATAATATAATAATAGTACATACCTTTGAAAATAATGCCATCACTGTTTCTTGAATACTTGGTGAATTAGAAAGTCGAAGTGACGGAAAAGCAGTTGGTGTAGTGACAGCTTCACTGCTTTTCTCTACAGATGATACATTACTTTGACAAGATGATGCATCATTAATACGTTTGTGAGATCCCGATTTAGAAGAGGAATTTTTATTATACATATTAGTTACATCACCTAAGTTGGAAAGTAAAGTTTTTACACTAGGACGCAACGATGAAGAACGAACACGTTGGGATTGACCGGGTACAATATTAAAAGAAGGTTTTTGATCCATATAATGTTGATCTTCGCTACATTCTAAATCAGTTAAACTTAATCTGTGTGCAAAAGGAGTTGACTGTTTCTAAACATTAACAAACAAATATAGAATAAAACAAGTGAATAAGTTATCACAGTTGACTGATATGCGCGCTATTTTCTTTTGAAAGATAATACTAAGTGTAACTTGACTTTATACAACTTAATATTTGTTTCCTGATTAATGTTATATTTTGTGAACTACTTTAAAATTATTAAGTTTACGGATTTAATAATAAATTTAATAGAAGCAATTGGATCAATTCGTGCTTGATGGGTTCCATAATTAATTTACACAATAACGAAAGAGACGCATTGTGTCACTGAATAAAGGAGATTTCCTTTTCGACGATTTCATGTATTTAAGTTGTGCAATTATATTTATTTGTTAGTAAAATAAAAAGGTGCTAAATATTTTTAAAAAAAACTTGGAGCAGTGTGTTGTCGAAAATTGAAATTCAGATACTGAAAGGAAGTAATAATAATAATCGGTTGGTGAAAAAAGTGGTAAGGCGAAAATAATTGTCCACTTGATAGCTATTAAAAATACAATAATTAAAAGTTGTAGTAAGTGCTAATTAACAGTTGTGAAAATAATTGGAAACAGATATACATAATTAAATAAGCAATAGATGATGGAAAACAGAAAGGGAGTTTAAGACCATGGAAGAATGAAGGAGTGAACATACTGTTTATGTACGCAAAGGTTAGGCTTAAAATGGTGGATAGCAATAGCCCCTAGTGTACATACGTTTTTCATTTGAATGCTTATAAGGCCGACATTTCTGACAGTATGCGTGAAGCAGAGGAGCCGAAATTGTCTAGACTAGCCGCACAAAGGGACCACTTTAGAAACGCATCTCTAAACATTGCAGAAGTCAGTCAAAAGCTCAATCTTGCAGCCTCCAAATGGTACGACCACCAAATGCCCTGGTACAGCTGAGAGTGGGGAGTTTCCACTCTCCCTCTCGAAATCCTCTCACATGGCCACGCGTATATAGCCTCTGCCATGAAAGACCTATTCACTGCCTTCTCGTGGAGGGGGTGTTGTTTACAAAAATGAGACGAAAAAAACGAATCCCCGACGCTTTAACCGGATACGGTGAGTCCACCAAGGGGAATTGGAAAACCCTGATTCCAAACCGATGGTGCACATGGGCTCCAGTATCCTAAACGAACCAATCGTTGGTCAATGGCTACCATGGGACTGCATCTCCTTACGATGCTCCACTGCCTTGTGGATAAGACCTTCAGGTCGAAGGCTCTGGGTGTGGTCCCCTAAGAAAACCAACGGTTTGGGTCTGGGCACTCGGGCAGTATCACAGCCCTCACACATATCAAGTGAGATTTTTGTGGCGCATATGTACTTGGTGCATCCTTGTACCAATATGTGTTAAAATAAATAAATAAATAAATAAACTACGACTGAGTGTGGAGTCAGCTCTCCCTCTCGAAATGCTCTCACATGACCACGTGCATAAAAACACTGTCAGGGAAGTCCCACTCACTGCCTCCTCGCAGTGGTGGGGTGTTGGTTACAAAATTGAGAGGACGAAAAGTTAATGTCCGGTGCTTTAACCAGTTTGGTGGATATGTAGGATCCACCTAGGGAAGTTAAGAAAAAAAAACCTAATTTTAAACCAATGGTAAACATGGGCTTCAGAATTTTAAGAGAAAAAGTGAAGTATGAACCTATCGTTGGTCACCGGCTACCATGGGAAGTACAACACTCTAACGTTGCTCCCTGTCTTGTGGATCAAACCTTTAGGTCGAAGGCTCTGGGTGTGACTCTCTAGGAAAACCATCTGCTTCGGTTCGAGCACCCGGGAAGTATTCTAGCCCTCACACAAATCAAGTGGCTTATGTGGCGCATATGTATTTGGAGCCTCCTCGTACCAACGTTTTGTGTTTATATAAATAAATATCTAGGGGCTAAGACAGTCTTCTGACTTTAACCAATTTTTACAGAATTTAACTTTATTTTCACATCGATACGATGAACTAGAAATATCCACCTAAAAATAATACAACGAAAAATCAGAAGTGAACTTCTCTAATCTAAATCGTAAAATCCAAATATGAAATAAAGCACATTTATACAACCTCATTTACTACAAATTATTTTAACAGTAATTTATACTTTGCTAATGAAAAATATTTATTACTATGAATTCCGATATTTAAAAACATATATTTCAGGTAGAAAACTAACGTCGGGGAAAATTTAGACAAAAATAACCCAATTTAGAATGAGAGAAGTGGAGTTTTCTTCAATGATTTGATTTTACAGTTTTAATAAAGTAAACTAAATAAAATAAAGTAACCGAACTAATTTAAAATTAGCGAAACTATTTAGTAAAACAGTTCACTGAAATTTTATATATTAGGTCCTCCGTAATTAGATTATGTTAAAAAAAGGATAAGCATCAATCCACCACTGTTAGACAACAATGTCATATGTTTTGAAGAAGACACATCATTGAAAAATGATTCATAAAAAAGGTTGGTAAGCTGTTCCTTTTAATAAATGTAAGGAAGGTATTCAGAGAAATTTCAAAACGGCAAACAGACACACCTCTAGACGTGTTTCAAAAGCCTTAGATTCCATTTTTCTGGAAAAACGAATATAGTAATGACAGTGTTAAATGTGTTTACTGAAATAATTATTTAGAAAAAACAGTTAATGTAGTCGAATTGTAAAAAAAAAGTCACATATCATAAGAAAAAACGACAAAAACCTTAATCTAATAAGATTTATACATTTCAGTAACGGAAACCTACATTGTGACTTTTGCAGGTGGATCATTTAATTGTAATTGCTTCTACTTAGTTTAAAAACTGAAATGATCAAGTGCGAACAGTCGATTATCAGATATGGATTCAATCAAAGGAAAGCTGTTGATCGTGAAGGTGAGATATAACAAAATGACGGAGGTAAAACAAAGCCTAAAAAAGTACGTTCTGATAAGTACTGCATAACGGATATATATATATATATATATATATATATATATATATATATATATATGAGTGAATCCCTGCCAAGTCCTTTTTATTCCATCTCATTTGAAATGATATCTGGGATAATTAGTTATTACAACTTAAGCAGGTATACAATATAAAATGATAGTATCCTTTATTTTGACGGTAGTGCAAATTCATATAATTTATTTCATACTGTTTTCAATCAGTGAAACAGACAGAGCAAAAACATATCAGTTACATACAAAGTACACTTATTCATGATATATTTATCCCAGTTCACCTATAGAGAATGAACTCAGTGAAACTATTAGTTTCACCAAATATTGGTAGATAAATTAACGTAACATACTTTTTCTTTAGCTCAATAAATACTCGCAACAAACCTGAAGAAAAGAGCAATCATATTTATCATACAACGAACTATTAGTGAACTAGAAGACAAACCTTTAGAGCTTCAAGCGAAGCTGAGCGACTTTCAACTATTTACTGAACAAACATAAGCACCGAAAGATCAGATACAAATTAACATTGATGAAATAGTAAGTCAAAGTAGAGTATATGTTTTATATCTAGTCATAGAATTGTTGATAAAAGGAAAATAATATGAAAAATAAGAATTTCTGCGCACTACTTAATTCAATCACTTAGATATGGAAGTATATGATTATCTATGAAAGCTATATAAAATTAACAAGAATAACTAAATAAACAAATAAACTATTGTCTGATAATACAGATAAAACGGAATGTGGGTAGTATATATAGTTTTAGAAGAAAATTGTACAAGCATTTTAATTTGAAATGAAAGTATAACTAACACAACACCAATAATTAAGAGATCAACAAATATGCATTGCGTTTCATAACATAACTTGACTGATCTTAAACGGACATCACCAAATATCGATTTATCATAAAAATCAAGTTCAGCATCTCCTGTAAAAATTATTATTATTAATTATGACAAAGTGACATTAGAAAACAATCACGTCAGAAATCATAATATTTATTCTGATGTTTATGATCATTTCAAAATAAATAAATAAACAACGAGAAAATTTTGTCAACTACATGATACATTGGAAATGAACACAAACACTACTTATTAGCTTTAAAAAAAAATACAACTAAAAACGTTAAGATAAAGTTATAAATGTGTCGAAAAAGAGGTTACAATTCTATTGATGCGGATTAGACGCTTAAAAAAAAGACAAACTATAATTACTTATATTAACACACTTTATAAAAACAAAACTAAACAAACATGTATGCAAACCAAGTATTCATATAAATGTGTGAAGCAGTGTTGTCATCAAAATATTAATGGTGAATTCACTTTTTTTTGTATTTAAAGACATAAACCTTAACTATCTGGTTGATATTTAAAAACGAATAAATAGTATGGTTAGCTTTATGAACTTGCGATTTCTTGGTCTAAGCTGTTTGACTTTTAAGAGCATTCAATGAAGAGTTCCGAATGTATCTCAGATTTTTAGATGCATAGGTTGAGCAGTTCATAAGCTTACAAGTCAATTTCACAATTTACTATGATGAAAAATATCGTTCTTTCTTTCTAGGTATACCAAAATCCTTTTGATTGTAAAGTGCTATTTAGAATAGCGTATAAGTTGTTGAACAAGGAAGAAATGAAATAATTTCAGGATATTATGTAAACTAATTTACCAATCGTGGTTAATTTAATTCACAGATAATTAAATGTTTTTCAATGAGAAATATCTTATAGGGACTTTTGTTGTAAATAAAAGTTTATGAAAAAAACACACCAAAAAACAGGCTGATGCACGAATACGAATAATAAGAAAAATCAGGTTACTGAAATTAATTTTACAAAAAAGATCTAATGTAGAAATGCGAATATCAATTGGAAGTATTTTTAGAAGTTTCAGAAGCCAAAAATCTGTGCTTTTGCTTCCAATAATGAGATCGCTCAACCGCAAGGGCTTTAATTTTACTTATGGCTGTGAATAGTGCAAGTGGCAATTAAGTGTAGGTCTGCTATTATCATTACATAAGACAGGTAAAAAAATAGAAGTAAATGCAGCTAAACACGCATATATATATATATATATATATATATATATATATATATATAGTGCGTGTGTGTGAATGTATGTGGTAGCAGACAGACATGCTCTTGTCATGAAGGAATCAACAACACTGGAATTCTTTCTTCATATAACACAAGGGTATATAATGGATAGAAAATCATTAAATTCATCAATCAAAAGTACAATGAATCATAGGAAAAATAAACAATCAAAACAACTACCTTACAGACATTAATTTATATGTGTAGACAAATCCTGTGAAGTAACAAAAAAGTAATTTAATGAGAAAAAAAGAACGCTAATTTAAGCATTTTACATAGATTATATTCAGTTTGCAAAATTTAAATTGCACAGAGAAAAAGTAAAATTCATACATAATTTACTAACTAATCGGTCTTTAGATAAAATAATGTGAAATCCTTACACTTATATCCGATTTGGAATATGCATGCGTATCAGTCAGTCACAAACAAATTTTCTGAGTTATTGATGTGTCAGCTCTTTACCTCAAAACAGCTTGCCATCAGAGATGAAAATCCGTCGAGTAAGGTGAAATGTGACATTTCTAGGTCAAACTATCCCATCCCTTTCTTCCGTTGTAAGGAGCCAAGATTGTTGAGGATATTCGTTACTGAAGGGAAACACCTTACTCTCATCACACCTCAGTAAAGTTAGCAGTACGACTTCACCCTTGCACCATGTGTTCACTGCATTTAGTCGCACCGCTTCTCGACTGACCTGTCTAGTATGGCATGATCTCAAAGAACAATACATCCGACCAAAATAGATCGTACGGATAATTAAGGTTGGCAAGCCCGACCACTAAACCAATGTAGCTGCTGAGGTGGGGATATATATATATATATATCATTAATGTGCGATCTCTCATAGTACAACGTAAAATAGTGTCACTCAGTTAAAGGAGTGATTTCTCAGTGTCACAGTCACATTTAAACACAGAATGCGATAACTGGTTCCAATATTAAGAAAGAAAATCAGGAATAAGTGAAGGATATTCACCTAAGACGATTATTTTATACCTCAATGAATTCAAGAAATAACCATGTATAATATGAAGCTTAATATAAAACGTAAGACAGAAAGGGTGTTAGGCGAAATAGCTTATTTAAACTTTACATTAAAAGAAACATTCCCAAATCCTGGAAACCACAGCGAAGTCACCGAAAAAAATCACAATGAATATAAGATTAACATCAATAACATTTTACACACGAAGTATATTCTATCTTGTAGTTACAATCATTTCTTCACTGAATGACTGACTTGGCAAGATTTAACATATATCCTAGGTATATAGCTTCATCAATTATGACACTGATCTATGTACAGTTGGTGCTTTAAAGGAAATATGGAAGTTTCAATATTGCATGGAGCTTGATCAGATTGAAAATCTCATTTTAATAGGTAGGTAGGTGTTCAAACAGAATTCAGCTTCTCATGAAGTAACCAAAACAATGGTTCAGAAATCTAAACACTACTTTAGCTGAATAAATGTAAGTTGATAAAACTGTTTTAACAATAGTTCTGAACAATATCTATACCCGGTATAGATGCAAGCGAAGATGAAAATATTTTACAGTAAAAAAGGGAAGCAAAATTTAGATACTTCAATTTTCAATTTAAAGATAACAGAATTGTAAATTGATAAGTTTAAGTAAATATTCAGTGTCTCATGCAAAAATGGATTTTACAGAATGATTATTGAGAATTCATCAGAGGAAATATAGATACATAACAAATTAGTAGAAATTTCCAAGTGTTTATACATACATAATTATTGAAGAGATAGAAAGTTAATTCATCAGACAAACGGCCTAAGTGAAGAGACGGATAAGTGTTTTTAAAGATTTGAATCTAATCAAATAAGTCAGTCAGCTACAACGTAGGACCAGGCACATAAGTGCATCAGTCCAAGTTGCCATACCTCATTAACACAACAAGATGAACACCGGATTCATAGAAGTAGTGGTGATAATATATAAAAGAAAGATTGCATATAAGAACATAGTACTGGAAGAAAAAATTAGTTCGTAGAAAGAAAGATATGAAGCGATTTTAATCTCACAGTTTAAAGGAAGAAAGAAAGTGCATACACCTACGCCACTGTGATCAATTCTGAGCAATGTTACCAAGAGTCTCCAACGATTGGTTACGATAGTCACGCGGACCCCAACTAAGTAGTCTGCATCTACCAACATGGCTCAGATCAGAAGTTAATGACTTCAAGCACTGATGCCACGTTTTGGTTCGTCCACTTAAATTTTATTCAACCATCCGCAACACTAATCAGCACTGCGCGTCGTGGTAATCGATGTTCAGGCACAGGCAACACGTGGCCCAATGATCTCAGTCGATGAACATTCACAACCTCATCAACTGATTTACCATCATCCCCTAATACCCTGCGTCTAACCCAGTGATCCCAGCAGATTTGAGCAATATTTCTAAGGCATCTGTGATCAAATACTAGTAGCTTACGAATATCTTCTACTCTTAATGACCACGTTTAGCAGCCGTAAAGTGAAACAGAACGAACTGCCGCGCAGTATATTCGTTCCTTAATTGGTAGACGAATAGATCTAATAAGTTGTATGAATGAGAATTCTGCCCCTAATATACAGTTTGGATGGCTAAATAACATTCATACGAAATATAGCTCAAAACTGACTGGAAACATTATACACACAAGTATGAATCTGAAAGTTACAGCTATCATTGTAATTAGAGAAACATGAATACGTTTATTCAACGAGAAAATTTTCGAGGAATAATTATGTTGGATGGTAAAACTTCTAATTATTTTATTGGGGATGATTTTTGTATCTACGCGAATATGTCTAACTCGACATTTTATCTAACAAAGTACAACATTGTGGTAATATATTTAAAAACAATCACCATTCGTATTAAATAAAAAGTTTGCATCATGTGTTTAATTGCGTGAAGCTTACTTAGAAGCTACATAAATCATGGTCACTAAATGTCAAGTTTGTTAGTGCTTTGAGTACGAATTTTAATTTTTTCCGAACTGAAGAGATTTCATTTGAGGATTTACCACTAGAATCGACTATAAGTCATTTTTCCACTTTATATGAACATCACAAAGTGCTACCAAATATCATAGTACGGTCGAGGGTGGAGTCAGCTCTCCCTCTCGAAATGCTCTCACATGACCACGTGCATAAAAACACTGTCAGGGAAGTCCCACTCACTGCCTCCTCGCAGTGGTGGGGTGTTGTTTACAAAATTGAGGGGACGAAAAGTTAATGTCCGGTGCTTTAACCAGTTTGGTGGATATGTAGGATCCACCTAGGGAAGTTAAGAAAAAAAAACCTAATTTTAAACCAATGGTAAACATGGGCTTCAGAATTTTAAGAGAAAAAGTGAAGTATGAACCTATCGTTGGTCACCGGCTACCATGGGAAGTACAACACTCTAACGTTGCTCCCTGTCTTGTGGATCAAACCTTTAGGTCGAAGGCTCTGGGTGTGACTCTCTAGGAAAACCATCTGCTTCGGTTCGAGCACCCGGGAAGTATTCTAGCCCTCACACAAATCAAGTGGCTTATGTGGCGCATATGTATTTGGTGCCTCGTACCAATGTTTATGTGTTTGAATAAATGAATAAATTAAAAATAAGATCCCAAAGTTGGTATATAACTTACAGATTGGGATTTTGTTATCGTCGACATTTGAGTCAATGAAGCATTATGATGAAAACCATCTGGTGCATTGTTTGGGTCGGAAAAAGGAAGGTGGAGTGAAACATTGGGAATATTATTAGGTGAAGAACCTCTTCGGTTACCGTTACCACATTTTTCTTCCAATACAGACTTGAATCTTGCAATTCGTTCAGCCTCTGTGAGAGGTGGTTCCCCTGGGCTAGAAGTGAGATCTAAAAGAGGTGCACCTGTTATTTGAGGTCCCATGTGCGAAATGTGACGAAAGTCTGAGGGACCTGAAATAAGGTGTGATATACGAGAAGTCCCACTTGTTGGATTTAATGGTACGTTTGATTGCACAGATGGTTGTGGAGTTCGACTTTGTGATTGAGAACGGAAATTTCTTAATCTTTCAGGACTAACCCCATGGGTAGTACTTGATAAACTGTCTTCCACAAGAGAGTACAAATTGAAACGACTAGATTTCTATGAACAAAATATGAGAGATCAAAATAATATATTATTAACAACTTTCTTAGAATTTCATTTTTGTAATTATCCTCTACTTTCACTTATCCAAAAATATAACAGGACTAATACGATAGTAAATATATTGAAATGAATTGATATTTCACTTTTTCGTTTTTAGATCTAGTTGTCATATTTAACTTACCAGAAGTTAAAGATGGGAATGTGTGTAGAAAGATGTCGATTAGACTTCGCCTTTTTTTTATTCAGTATTAACATTTACTGATAGCATCGTGCTGATTAAACGTAATCGACTGGTTGTGAAAATATCTGCTGGTCAGGAAATGCAGTGATGAGAAGTATGGAAAATAAGGAAAAAATATACGCATGGGATGTACGAAAAAATCCCATAAATTTTTCACGAAATAAGCTTCATAAGACATTTCAAAAACAACACTAGTGAATGCTGAGTTAGTTTAGATAATTCGATAGTTAGTTCAAGACAACTGTGAGACAAAGTTTAGCATACCTGCTGAATCGATGATTTTACAAGCTAATGATAAACGTAATACAGAAGAATAAAGTTATAAATAATAATTACATGCTTAAAAGAAAACGCTTTAAATCCTTACTAATTGTATTTATACTTTAAGATAATGAGTATCTAGCGATAAAAAAATTATATATAATGTTACTAAACACTTCGGGTCTAAACATAGAGTTGCGAAATACACCGCATTATGTTTAAACCATTTTCAAGTGACCTGTGTTTCGAATGACAGATACACATTAAACTTAGATGTCGATAAATGTTCTTACCGTAGTGTGGGAATGTGAGGGTTTCCAGTGTTGCCACAGTGAGGGATGTTGGCAGGGCAGTGTCGTGGCTACGAAAGCCGCCTGCTGGAAGTGGGGTTTGAACCTACGCGGGGACATCCCATGGGATTTTAAGTTCACCGCCTTAACCATTCGGCCATCCCGGCTGCATTACTATTAGTATTATTACCTTTTACATGCATGTGCGCCAGGTTAGTAATTTATAATGTACATCGAGTGAGGTGTACGCAATAAAACCAACTAATAATGATCCACATTGATGTAAGCAACATCATTAAACTTATTATACTCAAATCACATTTCATGAAATTAAGCACTTTACTATATTCTAGTGTTTTTCTTAACACAGAGACACAATTGTTTCGAGCAACGTCATCGGTTTGGTTAGAAAAACGGAAACCTTAGTATATTAATTCATATTTAAATGTTTGCAAAACTAAGTGAAGCAGAAAATTTTATTAATAGTAGCAAATAATTACTTGTTTTACAAAAAAATACCAACACTTACACGCACGCGCCCCGTAACACCAAAGATACTAGACTGAGGCATTTGTAATCGCCTACTTCGTAACGCCGACACCTGTTGTTTCGACATTTCTTTGTTATCGGATATTTGAGGTAAGTGGATCAACCGTACCAGTTGCTGTTGTTGTTGACCAGAAACTAAATCGCTTGGAGAAATGTATGGTGGGGAAGGTGTAGCAACATTACCGGTAGAAGAATCCATGATACCACCAACTGCTGATTTACGAGAAGACGAGTTTGAAATAGACGATGATGATAGGTGTGCAAGACATAAATGTGCATCCATACTTAAAGGTTGAACACGACAGGAGCTAAGTGTTGATACCCAGCAACTAGTGATAGCATTAAAAACAACTAAGCCAGCCTCCGTAAATACATATAAATATGGATAGGAAAAGCTAACAGCAGTACCAGAAATAAGTTTGGCAGGCCACATAAGATTATCTGGTCGTGTTTTTTTACGATTGCTATTCATATAGACTCCACAATCTACATAACAAAGCAAAACAAACAGATAAGGAAATAATTTAGTTGTTTAAAAATGTATGAGTAATATGTAGACGACGAAAAGATATGGAATGCATCGAGAGACTGAGAACACTTTGCGCTTACTTTCAAATGCTAACAAAAACTCATCATCTCCCAATTGAACAGCACAATGAGCTTCTGACGGTGAGTGTTGGAAGAATGCCAGGCTAGAGTCAATGTCAATGAGGTCTCCACGTAATAAAACTTTTAAAAATAGAGAATTTGGAAAACAAATGGTATTAGGAATCTACAAGTCATAAAACAGTTTATTTCTATCAAAAATTAGACAATATTTGCACAAATCCAAACGAAAAAAATGAAATCAGCGTGTATAGCAATCTTATGTAGGTACGAAGATACAATAAACAAACCAAATCATTCACCAGGTACATGGTTATGAAGGTTAATGATACTACCCGATCGCCTAAACCGGAGAAGTTTGTGTGGGGTTCGAAACTGTGACGTAGTGATTTGAATGTCTAGTATCTTAACAACTAATCCACTACTTTACACGGAGACATAAATTTTGATTTGATTGATACCTGCGAAAAATATATTACCTTTTCAATTGCTGGACGCAAAGCAAAAAAACACATACATTCTTCTACTTGACTTTGAGCCAATCTAGTAGTGTTAGGGTAAGATAAACTACACAAGTTTCCTTATATACAGGATTGGAGACTGTATAAACGATTGAAAGCATAAAATCCCTGGTCATTTATTTTTACAGGGATATATAGCACTGAATATGACTAAATATGACTAAAAGTCACTAGTATTCTGGCAATACAATCCCTACCTTGAGCGGGTCCATCGGTCCATATGCTAAACATAGCAAAATAATTTGACGATCCAACACATATCCAATCACCATCTCGAACAAAATTGATAGACTGAACAATATACGGGCATGAAATTTCTTTTAAACGTTTATGTCTTCCTTGTACACGTGCAATTTCAAAAATGAACAGTGAACGATTACTGGCCACACAAATTAAACAAACTGTATTGTTTCGACTCATTGAACAAGTGAATCGAGTACATAATTTTGGTTCAGTAATTTTGATTGGTTTTAAGTTCATTCCTTCAAATGATCCAACCAGTATTAATTTTAAGAATCGTTGTTTACCTAAATTAAGAAATCCAAAATCCAGATCGTTAAAACAATTCATTGATTACTCCGTTGAAGTATACGTTAGAGCAATTTATTTATGGAAACATATACAAAATTAGCATTAGTTTAATATAATGCTTTGAGTGACTTATGATAAAAGCTTTTTAAAAAAATCAAAATACTGTACATTCATATTTCGCAAATGTATGTAAGTTTAGATTTAAATATTTTAACATATCAAGCAAAGAAATATGGTACAGGGAATTAAAATTGCATAAAGTTGATTTAACTAGCCAATCCATTCCTACGGTTGAAAGCTTGATGATTTCAATGATAAAAAACAGATGAGATAGTATTTTACTTAATGAATAAAATGACGGTGTATTTCTGTCTGACTAAAAAGACTAAACAAGATATAACAAGAGAAATATATAATTGGGAATTTGGTACTTGAATTTTTAGATAACACAAAATAACAAATCAGTTTAATCAAAAAAAATTTTCTATAGTACTGTCAGCATAAGAACATCAATAATAATCTAGCTTATCAGTACACTGACTGAAATATGATTCATCCCCTTGCACTAGTGAAGAAACAGCTAATTATTCCAGTTGACAATTCCTATAATTTACTAGGAATGTCACCAAAATACGTTCGAATAGTTGAAAAAGATGACTAGCACAAAAAATCAACACTTATCAATACAACTATGGGTACTGGCTTTAGTTAGTATAAGAAAAAACCAAAGAACGTAGTTATTCAAGCGAGCGAAATTTATGTCTTGAGGTTACAAAATGTACAATATAGGCAACGGTGTAAAGAAAACCACTCAGATATTCATTTGTATGGTATCAAAAGCTTAGTTCAGTCTTAAGTAGTGATAATCAATACCATGGTACAAACGAAATAATCGATTATGAAACAGACTAAAACTTCATGTTGCCTCACTGATTAAAATATAAATCTACATCATCTTGACCAGAATGTTTGAATATACACTACACGTCCGCTTAATAATATTGAGATTTTAAAAAAATTACGACCAGGAAACTATAACAAATTCAAATTAATTTCCACAAAAAATATCTTCGTGATAAGATGAAAAGTGATCATTGAGAAAGTCATTCAAAAATCAACTAATATACACTAACCTTGTATAGCAACAGCTAATTGAAGTTCTTCAGCTAATGCTTCAACTTGATAAACTGGTTTACGTGCACCTATACGTGTATTGACTACATAAAAACAAAAGTTAATCATTTGAATGAAATTAACAAGCTATACGTCTAGAAGACCGTATAAAACTGAATACACAAAAGTTTACTTTTGAATATAGATTCATACAAGTTTTGAATTCTGTTCACTAAAACGAATTTCACCCTGAAACAAGTAGCTTACACAAAATATTGAAGTAAATTATCCACTTGACAGTTTCTAACAGCTATAAAAAAACAAGACTGGCAAAATGGAAAACACTATAACAACAAACAACGGCAAATTCATCTGGGACAAGTCTCTGATAAAGATAGGTAGACATTTTATCATCAGAATCAACATGTGATTTACCGTGACTGATTTTATGGGTTAATTATATTACTATCATTACGACAGAATTGAAGTTGTAAGTCACATCAACACGTTAGAATTACTGTAGTTGTTTCACCGGATATATATATATATATATATATATATATATATATATATATAAACACAAAAACGTTGGTATGAGGAGGCTCCAAATACATATGCGCCACATAAGCCACTTGATTTGTGTGAGGGCTAGAATACTTCCCGGGTGCTCGAACCGAAGCAGATGGTTTTCCTAGAGAGTCACACCCAGGGCCTTCGACCTAAAGGTTTGATCCACAAGACAGGGAGCAACGTTAGAGTGTTGTACTTCCCATGGTAGCCGGTGACCAACGATAGGTTCATACTTCACTTTTTCTCTTAAAATTCTGAAGCCCATGTTTACCATTGGTTTAAAATTAGGTTTTTTTTTTCTTAACTTCCCTAGGTGGATCCTACATATCCACCAAACTGGTTAAAGCACCGGACATTAACTTTTCGTCCTCTCAATTTTGTAAACAACACCCCACCACTGCGAGGAGGCAGTGAGTGGGACTTCCCTGACAGTGTTTTTATGCACGTGGTCATGTGAGAGCATTTCGAGAGGGAGAGCTGACTCTCCTCACACTTGGCCGTACCAGAGCATTTGAACTAAGTACGACTTGCAGACAAAACAACAACAACGCAGTTATCAATCTGACTAACTTTTCTATATTGAATATCTATTGACGATTCGATGATTTAACGACAAACAAGATAATTGTGGTAGTCATAAAAGCGGATTCTTAAGAAATTTACCCATTATTTAGTAAGAAAAAAAAAGTAAACTGAAGATCACTTATCAACTTTAGAGAATGAAAATGAGTAATCTGAAATTTTACAAAAGGGTGTTATTTAATGAATTAATATGCGCAAATGATTATACAATAAGAGTTAACGCCATAGAGAAAGTAAGTAAAGATGGTATGCATGTGAGAAAAAAATGTTAAACTTGTTCCAAAGTTCAATTCAACGTAATATATATCGGAAACTATAAAATGGGGATTTGTATGAAGGCCTATGATTAATAATAACATTAAGAAATAAATGGAATTGCGCCACTGTAATTTATTTTGATTCACTCTAAAATCCACGGTCAGACATAACAGTTATTTTGTGGAATTTAACTAAGAAGTCAGCGACTACCAAGACAACTAACACTGCCAATCAATAACTTTAATAAATGTCATTTTCTATTTTACTAGCCCACAGTCCAATATTCTTTAATATTGTATACCTCTATACATTAGAGTAGGCAAGGGTTAGGAATGAGAAACATATTTCCAAATCACCCCGATCGATGCAAGTTTACAGTTTCATTAATTGAATTACCATTTTCACTGAGATTTAACACTACTGTCGCTAAGGTGATGGTGCGACCCTAAGACTGAGAAATTAATGTGGTACAATACTTAAGTGCTTTTTTCGTTAAACAAAAAATAACTTACTATTGTGCCTAATATCAACAATATAGAGTCCTTCATCCGTCCCAGCCAAGAATCGGTATTCATCTACAGACATCCAGAAAAGTGAAAAGTAATAATAGAACTAAATTAGGGATATGAACACTCATATAATTCGATAAAAAGGTTTCTATGGAAAACGTGACATAAGAACTTACCTAAAACTGAAGCACAATTAATTTGTTTTAATATGACGGATACAGAAGACACAGAAATATCACGCACTTGTAAACACTGAGAAAAAAACAAATGGAGAGTAAACAACATCAAAACACATTAACGGCAGGATAAACTAATTGCACAACTATACTGTTTTAATGTAAATAAACAAGCACTAACAATAAAAATAATATTATTGGATTAAACATGATGTTAAACAGAAAGATAAGAAATAAACTGAAAAGTTCAAATTTGTTTTATGTCTATATGAACTTATCAAAATATTATGAATGTAATTTTTGGTTACTGTAAATAGATTAAGTAATATCAATCGATATATATTACACAATGAATTCATTGATAAACTTAATGTCGGTTCAACGAAGGTCAGAAATAATTACCGTACAAATTTCTATGAATAAAATTCTCAAGTATATTACCAAACATGTGACTTCAAGTAGTGGCGAGCAAAATTAAAGGACTGAATGAAATCGGAGAAAATGTGTTCAGAATTCAGAGAATAACAGTGATGATAAGACCTTTACTATCTCTACCGGTTTTGACCATTGACACTGAACTCACTCTATAGCTACATAACAAATATGAAAACACATACAATCGAATAATGATTCAAACACCTAATATTCTACTTGTTAATTATGTATCATCTTAATGCATGATAGAGCACAATATGACGATAAGTACGACAAAATACAGCATGTTCGGAGAAGTAAAATATGGAAAAGTACAAGTTTAACTACAGAATGAAAAAAGATAAAAGTATCAGATCCCTCAAAAACCAAACGTCAAGTCATTTTGTGCATGTTTGTATGTTAGTCCGAATCATGAAGTAGACAATGATCAAATAAAGTAATCATAGAATGAACGAAATATATATATATATCGCGTGCAATAAACAGTTTTGTAGAATATTCTGAGTACAACTGTTTTCAATAAATTCATAATTAGGTACATTTGTATGGGATTTTACTCTCACAAAATGAAATATGAATAAAACAACAGAAAATAATTCAATGGTTACTTTAAGTTGGCAGAAAATTTAAATATGAATTATGTCTAAAAGACATGATAATAAGAACAACGGCAACAGTCAACATAATAAAATAGACGAAAGCCAAATGAGTCATCAGAAAAAATAAAGAGAGAACCATGATCAATGGTTGGAGCTAATTGTGATAAATTTCATACAGAAGTATTTGTTCATGTATCTCTCAACAATAATTTGTAATAATGAACATATTCTATGAAAAGAATTAGTTAGCAAAGTGATGTAAAAATAAATAGTAAAAAATAGTATCGAAATTTATTAAGTCTAATAGTCGAATTAAGGAGAATGTAGTTGAATTGTAAGATCGGTTGAGTGGTATGAACCAATATTTATTAAATAGATAACATATTTCACGTTGCAAGAACAAATTTATAATCGAGATTTTAGACAGAAATTAATTATACACTCTCAATGTAAACTTTATGGTTGAATTAATAAATGTAGTAGAGTTTAATAAACTATAACAGATTTAAGTATAAAATTTTGAATCAAATTTATGAGTGCATGCTATTTATACTAATTAGTCTTCTAAGAAGTGAAGCAAGACTTGAACTTCTGACATCACAATTTTTACTATAGAGCGAGACGTAAGGGTCCTGAGTTCCACTGTCGAGGAGTCCTATATAAGGAAGAAACAGCTGTTCAGTGCTTCCTGGTCTTCAATGGTTATCTAAATAGGATCAGTCAGTAACGAAGACTATGAAATTCAACAATCTCCGCAAATCCTTTGTAGTAATAATAGATGTTAAGTTAAAATAAAGTAATAATTCTGAAGATTCTTTACTTACTGGGAAATATAGGTCTATAGTAAAAACAAAGAATCAATAAAAAACATTTGGAAACTAAATATCTTTTTTCGGAAGAAACCAGTAATATGTTCCTGATAATCGATAGAACTGAAGTCCTTCAATCAACTAAAGCCAATGCAGAGCCCGGCAAAATCTGCATTAGCCTCAAGTTGCCACATTACCATAACGAGATAAAATTAATCAGATGAATCAGTGAAAAAATCGAAATAGTGTAGCAGCAATGACAATGAAAAGTATTAAACATTGGGAAGATCGTTGAAAAAAGATAGAATGAAAAGGTATGTATGGAGGAATACTGGGCTTAAAACAAACCTACAAGGAACATAGCATAGTTTAGTATAAAAATTTCATTAAGCCAAGAGACTGTTTAGGTAAAAACAAAAAATCTTACTCCGAACACTTGGCTACCGATGAAATCACAAGATTCTCAAACAAAAAGCAATTTAAAACAAGTAACCAATTAAGAATACATGATAAAAGTATGCTGCCGACAGGACGTGGCATTAAAAGGTGGAAACATTTGAAATGAACTACTTTATATATGATGAATTTAAGAAACTTATCTAAACAGGTAATATCATCTACTGAATACTGCTGGGGTTAGGGACAGAATAAAAACAAAGAAAATGAAGTGGAAGTTTTTGAAAGGATGCAGATGATTTGACAATTATGTTGACATGCGTTGATTGAAACGGGATGGAAATATGTCATAGTGAAAGAAGTTGATAACAACAAAAAAAGAAAACATAAAATAATATACATCGGGTATTCAAATAATCAATTATATACCTGCGTAAGCGGCATCAAAATATACATTTTTGTGAGATCTGGTTATGTCAACAGGTTATCAAAACTAAAATGAGTAGAATATAGTCTGAACAAACAACTCAATAGTTGAAAGTCTAATGCTGTAACTAGTAAGCCACTGATGGTAGCAAAAAATGATATAAATTGGTCGCATCATTGGATAGTGTTGTGACAAGTATATGAAGTGATAAAAAACGGTTGTAAGAATTTTAAATGAGTATTTCACGTCCATTTTTCACAATTGCAATCAGAATCAAGGCAGTAGAGATGCGTGAAACTAAATTTATCTATAACGTTTATTTAACACATGAAACCCTGTCATAATCACAAACATATGAAATATAAGTTGAACAATGACCTTTTATAATAAAAATAATATTTCACAATTTCAACATGGAATGTATACATCGATAATAATCTATGAATTAAAACTACTTGAATACATAAATCACTTATCAAAAAAATTTACAACATACCTGCAATTCACTATCAGTATTGATATGACGTTGTAGTAATTTTAATACATCTTGAATTAGTTTAAACCAACATTCACAAAGTGCAGAGCTTTCAAATAAGAGAAATAATGGAGCGCTCGGAAGATAATCATCTACAACAACCTAATAAATATAAAAACATTGTAAATTATAAGATAGATTAATTTAACAATCCCAGTAGGTTGGTGTGTTGAGAAAAATGAAACAACACAAGTACTCCGTGATTGATACACAGTAGTCGATGTGATGTACAAGCTACATTACAATACATTAAAAGATTAGTCATTAGAAAATCCAAAAATTCAACTAAGAATATTTCAAGTCGCTAGAATTTGTAGACTGCTTCATTATCGTTGAAACAAGATACATAAACATTTTCTGTTAAACAGTCAGTTAATGAATAATATATATATTCGATATTTTTCGCCTTTCCGCACTATGTAGGAATACTTTTTCTTGAGATATATGTACTAAAAGACCGGGTTAGTAGTGACGATCTTGTTGACCTGAAGATGCGGAATACGATATGAAATGAAGGAATAAATTCGTAAAGCAAAAACTACACTACATTACTGAAATGCAAGCAGTCATTTAATTTACAATGAATACAACTGTAGCATACATCCAAAATTATTCACACAATAAGGTGGAAAAAAAGCTACAGGAAGAAGGTAGGAAGTTTTACCAACAATCAGAGCACGCTAATAAATATGTTGTACTTGTCCAATAAAACTCAGATATCGAAAACGATTTATGTTTGTACCAATCTTACTCCCGAATTTATCAACGGGATTTATTAATCTTCCAGATAACTGGACTAAGGAGAATTTTATATACCGACGAGAATAATGGTAAATGTTGGGCTATTAGTATATATGTATTTCTATTGTATAATTAATAAGTAACTAAACTATGAATATTCATATTCCGCTTATTATAAGCTTTATCTTAACCTATAGATTATTATACGATTTACCATGCTTAAGTTATGCCCAGTTTATTAATTACATTCTCCCATAATTACAGCCACTTTTGGCTAGAACTTGTACAAATGTTAGTTTCTATTTTATGATGTGATGTGGTCTGTTTGACTTGTATATAAACGCAATATCTTTGAAACATATGATTCATATAACGGAGGCTGATATTTGCATGCTGGACTGAACAACCAGGAAGAAGGACTCGAGACTGCCCGTACGGGTTTGTGTGTCATTGGTCGATAAGTCGCTGTTCTTTAATTGGCAGTATCATTACGTTATAACAGAGAATGCAACTGATAATTAAGTAGAAGCTGATCTAAGAAGATATGAAATAAAACCTGAAATGACGTCAACAGATTTATAAATGCCACTATACTAAATCAAAGATATGTTGGGAAAGGCAGAAAAATAAATCATACATTTTGCCTAGGGATATTATATTGTCAGATGACTTGTTTAATAGCGATTTTACACAAAGTATGATAACTGAAACCTATCGCAATAAACCACTTCCATTACATGAAGGAAACACCATTAAAAATGTAAGAAAGATAAGTATAAAAAAATACCTTCAATATTTTTGGGATATCTTGCTGCTTTGCATGGATTACATCAGATGCGGTTACATAAGATACAGAAAAACCAGAACTACGTAAATCTACAATTCGACTTGGACTGTTCGACTGGAACATGGGATTTGTGGACGTATTTAATGAACTCAAAGAAACGTTATGACTATTTGATAAATGGAAATTTTGAAAAGTTGGAGATAACGAATTGCCACTTCCGTTTAAAGCTGCAATATTTGACGATTCCGAAACAATCTTTATTCAAATAAAGAAATAAACGAATAAAACGGTAAGTTCATAAGAAATTTTAGCTTCATAATGAATTTATTACTTAATACTATGCTACAGTGAAGAATTCTTGGATAAACATAGGAAAAGAAGCAAACTTTTAAACACAAGACAGTAATCAGAACACTTAAAAATTTTGCGCATGTCTTTTTATTTTTGACTCCTGTGCTGACAGATGGGAATGACAAAAAGAAGAGCAGGAAAAAGAACAAGTAAATATGAAGTCAGATTACAACAAAATGGGTATTGGTCAGATTCTTTGCTTCATTAATTATTCCAAGCTTACAGATACGTTTGAACAGATGAAAGTGAATGATTTATCAACATGTTGGAGGAAAAACACATGTGATCGAATCTACATAAATATATCGTGATAATTCACTTGCACGAAAAAAATTGACAAAATACCAATTCAATAACAGTTAATTGTTTAAAGTTCACAAATATCGTAGTCCAATCCAACTGCATAATAAAACTAATTCATTTTATAGACATACTCACCTAGCATTCACACATAATTTTAATTGACAGATTTTAACAAATAAAAGTGCAAGGCAGAATCTATTTATGGCCATTTGATTGCACGAACTTTTTTTAATACAATCATGTAACCGAATAAAATTATCCGATAAATAAAACATAAACTCTACACATTGGATTATTCTGGTAAATTGAATTATGACGAAAATTCTTAGAAAGTAAACGATTAAGATTAAGGTGAAACAGTTATTTAAGTTAATATATATTTATCAAGTTGATCGGAAAAACACATAAACATTAAAATTTAGATGTATTTATTAAGCTGTGCAGTGTCTTCACTCTGAACTTGCTATCGACTCAGAATACACAGATGACATAGTCCTGTTTGGTGAAGACGCTGACAAAATGCAGAGTCTTTCAGCAGCACTAAGCAACAATGCCAGAATGTTTGGAATGCGCTTCTCTCCCTCTAAATGCAAGTTGTTGCTTCAGGACTGGTCTGCGTCAATACCTGAACTAAGGATAGGGAGTGAAGTGGTCAGACGCGTTGGTAACTTCATTTATTTTGGAAGTCTGATCAGCCCTAATAGGTTGGTGTCGGACGAAATCTCAGCACGGATTCGAAAAGCTCGTTTGGCTTTTGCTAACTTACGTCATCTATGGCGAAGGCGAGATATCCGTCTATCAATAAAAGGACGAGTATACTGCACGGCAGTTCGTTCTGTTTTACTTTACGGCTGCGAAACGTGGCCACTAAGGGTAAGAGATGCCCGTAAGCTACTAATGCTTGACCACAGATGCCTTAGAAATATTGCTGGTATCTACTGGGATCACCGGGTAAGTAATAGTGATGTTAAACGCAGGGTATTAGGGAAGGATGGTAAATCAGTTGATGAGGTTATGAATCTTCATCGACTGAGATGGTTGGACCACGTGTCACGTATGCCTGAACACCGATTACCACGACGTACAATGCTAACCGGTGTTGGGAATAGTTGGAAGAAAGTCAGGGACGACCAAACCAAAACGTGGCACCAGTCCATAAAGTCACCAACTTCTGATCTGAGCCATGTTGGTAGATGCAGACTACTTGGTTGGGGTCCGCGTGACTATCGCGACCAATGGTTGGAGACTCTTGGTGACATGGTTCAGAATTGTTCACAATGGCGTCGGTGTATAGACTCTTTGTCATCCCCCTTAACCATGAAATTAGAACTACTTTATACCTTAATAAGAGCTTATTCTTTCTTCCTGTACTATATCCTTATATAGGATCTTTCTTTTATACTATTACCACCATTGAATTAACTACTTCTGTGAATCCGGTCTTCATCTTGCTGTGCTAATGCGGTATGGCAACTTGGACTGATACATATATGTGCCTGGTCCTACGTTGTAGCTGATGGTACTTGTTATTCAAAAATAATATCGACTCTGGGATGCAGATATACCCAGCTAGAATCTTTGTTCTTGCTCTTTTCAGAATCCAGAATAATAGGAAACGTGCAACCTCGATTCCCCTGCTGGTCACCATCTATCTCTGCTTATAATTAATTATCTGGGTTTTTTTCAATAACGAATTTAAAGGCATTGGCGTTTGTTGAACAACTATGCTTAAGCTAATAGAAATAATGCTACTAATAGAAATAATGCAATTTGCAGATTATTGTAGATAACATAAAGAAAATTCAGTAAAGTATAAGTCTAAAATTAATGACATTACGGAATTGTAAAACTAAATATGAATATAAGGCAAAGTTATTCATTTGTAAAGCTAGCATTACTTGATCGAATAATATGCCTATTATGTAGGATATACAAATAGACCATATACTTATAACAGGAAATAAATTTCTCTTTAATAGTCCATTTTGTTTTGCTTTTTTCGACAAATTTTCAGTGTAAACGATACTAAGGTTAACATAGATTGAAACAAAAGATACGAACCACATCTTTAGTTCATTTATACAGACTCTTAAAAATAAAGAAATACTTACATCGTAAAAGAATAAGCGCTTATCAGATAAAAATACACGGTATTTCATCCATCCACGTTTGATTCCACCTAGTTTGGGCATCTAGACATTTAGAAGTAACAACAAAAGCGAGCTTATAGTCAGATCAATTTTTCAGGAATAGTATGATTAGCAAATCCATGAAAAATTATTCAACGAAACAAAAAAATCACTGATGTTAACAAAAGTAGAATCTCTACAAAATATTGAGATGAAAAATAACATAAATAAAGAAAACTTTTGGAGATACGAAACTGATTTTCATCAACTACGTAGAATGTACCATACAACTCATTCCGTTTCATCTGAAAATGAGAGTGATTACGAGAGTAGAAGCTGTAAAGAAACTGTAATTTCAGTCTTATAAATTCAGCTTTAAGAAAACATACCTTAAATTTTAACAGTGAACTATTTTGTTCCTATTAATGACTCTGATAAAACAATATAACTTTCAAAGTATGGCTATTGATCCCCAGAAAAAATGAGAAATAAAGTGGATAGAACGGAAAAATCTCGATACTGAATTACAGTTAAGCAATTAAAAACTTACTAACTAGGTGAGTCTTATATTATAAAGCTGAGAGGTTGCATGCTTGCGTTACGTAATTTCATTTACAGAATGAGACCAATCATACAGCGACTGTACTTAAAACTATACTTAAAGTTAATATAAACCTCCAAAGTATTAACCTGAATCGTCGAAATCAACATAACTGGTTTGAGGTAAGTAAAAGATTAAGCAGATACTGGAATGATACAAAAACACAGAAATTATCGAATAGTTGCAAAATTCACCTTTACATCACTTTCAAAATCAGCACCAAAGCCATGTGAACCATCTAAAATAAACCAAAGAACAATAATCAGATGAATAAATTCCAATTAATTATAAACTTGAAAAGTTCAGTTTTATGATCTACGCAAGGTGACTTTGAGATAACTGGGGACTGAAAATCAGTCAGATTTAATTCCAAAAGATAGTCGATACATCTAATTGTAGATTTTAGGAGTAAAGACTTGAAATATATAAGTGGAACAATTGTGTTCCTCTTTCATGTTCCTTGAAAACCTGAGCTTTTATATAACTCTAAAGTTCATATTTCTCTTATTTATTGGTTCATGTCGATCTACATTATCAATTATTATAAAAAATTTACGAGGATTTTGTGAATTTTATAGTCAACATTACGGACTAACTTTAGTTTGACAACTATTGAAGGTCAGGCAAAAGTGGACAATTGTTTCATCTTAGCATGGGATTACCCTGAAGTATCCATCATCAACAGTCACCAGGAATCGAATCAATGAGTTGGCAGCTTCACAAAATCATTTATTGGGTTTCGAGATTCATTCGCAAAATTTAGTGATAACACATGTCTGACAACAAAAATTTTGACTAGGTAAGTATGAACGGAATTAAACAATTTTCACCAGATTATTAGGTACAAATGAAAAGGAAACCTTCCAACTCCATTAAATAAATAAGAATGAAAACCTAAATATTGAATCACATGAAAAGTTTTAATAATTATATTTTAAAAATCAAACCAACCAATACAATTCGAATTAGGCGCAGCACAAACAATATGTACAGACATACGACACCGATGATGGCACTTTAATTGACAATCTTGACATTGAACGCCTTGCCACTTCTGACCTAGTATCAAACTGCCGCAAACGTGACATTTTGTTGGTTGCAAAAACGTGACGAAAGTAAATTTGTGTGTCGAAGTAGATGTTTGAGACGCTCCAGAAGCATCTAAAGTAGTCCAAGAGTTTTGTCCTGGTGTTGATGTATATGGGCTATTAATATCAAGTGAAGGGAGCGATCGTCTGTTATCCATTGCGTTCTTTTCCGAAGTTGCTTTCTAAAAAAATAAGATAACTATCAGTTAAATATTTCTTTTAAGAAATTTCAACAACAATATACAAATAACCTGAACAACGAATGCTTTCAGAGTGAATTCTATTCAAAACAATCTTGTAGCCAGTTGTAAGCTACGTACAAAAGACGTTTTGAAAGAATTTCAAAACTCGCATTACCTAACACATAACTTAAATTGGATTACTGTTAAACTATCCAAAGTTCATAAATCGGAACCGGGTAAATTATTTTACAACACAACAAGTTGTAGAGACGAAAAATGATTTATTCACCATCGATCGAAATAAATTTACAGTTCTATAAGTCTAAACATGTATTACACAATATGATACACAAATGTAACGTTTTTCTCCAACGAGTAATCAATTCCCGGAACCTACTTATGAAAGTGCCTGGTCCTTCTTCTAATTCATTTAAGAGTACCGAACAAGTGATTAGATCAACTGCATTTCATTCAATGAACGTCGTAAATGATGTGGGAATATTACTTTTCTTAATTGAATACATGGCATAAAATTGTAAACTAGAATAGTAAATAAAAATCGACCTTAAAATAGAATTAGAAATCGATACGTAACAGTAGTAAGACGATCAGAAGTGGACATGTGTTAGAACAAAAAAAATTATGAAGTAAGATATGTATGAAGTCAAAATAACAAACAACTAAAAACACTGTAAATGAACTTTATTTTTGGTATGAAAGTAGAGAAAGAGGAAGTGAAAAATCAAGAATTCTTTACGATACAAGTCACAATGGCCCATTTTACAACAAAATTTTTAAAAAATTTTATTTATATTAATTAGCATATTTCTTAACCAGCAAAATAATATTTGATTGTGGTAGATACATGATTATTGTATATCAATCGGAAAATAAAGTAACTATAACAGGATTGAATAAATGACAAATAAAATGGAGGGAAGAAATCTTATTTTCAGACAATTAAAGAACTAATGATTATTAGCAGTTAAAAATGACGAATTATTTGCCATTACCGTTGAAGATGCCTTGTATGTGTGTGTGAGAGATAAAATGAGGGTGAAGTATGATTTTCATATATAAACCAATGTAACTAGGTTTTATTGTTTTTTATCCACATTCGATTAAAGGAGAAAGTAGTGATGGTTAAAAGTAACATGTATACAATGTCTAGTGTAAGTGACCAATAGATGTAGTGTATGATGAAACGTGGTCAGATGGCAAAAATAAGAAATATTTTTTAACGCAAAATGGTTATCCATATTTTACTACAAACCAAAGAAAATATGTGGAAATTGTAATGTTTACTTCATGTCCACGAACGTTTAGAGAACTATCTTAAACGTTAATTCTTAGCATAAATACTTAAAATAGAATGATTAGTTATATGCTTTGTAATCGCTAATCAGATTAGTTTTGTCTCACATACATGTACATTAATATTTTGTAATAAGGAATGTAGTCATATAGTCATTTGTTTAACTACTCCGATTACGGGACAGTTGGTGACAGTGGTAATAAACAGCAAAAGAAAACATAAGACCTGATACAAAATAGTTGGTTGACTTAGATTTGTGAACAGTATTGACTTGACAATAGCAGATCACTTCGTAACATCAACTGATTGGCAAACCAAACATTATTGCAAAAAATAAGAAAATATATACATATAATAATAACAATAATGATAATGATAATATTGATTAAGAGCATGAAAACACGACAAATGGAGAAGTATGCTATGAAAAGATTCATATGGCTGAAAATAGTAGTAACTAACCGGCATAAAACTGACTGCATCGTTGACGGTCTAACAGTAAGAAAAAAAGGAAACGAAAGAAATATTTAGCACGGATATTGATACCGTCAAAACAACAAGAATGTTTACAAATGAAATACCGTATACATAGTAATTCCGTAAGTAGGTAGTATGGATAAAACAAAATGCACTTTCATCGGAATACATAATAAGACTGAAAAATAAGAATCTAAGAATAAGATGGGTTAAAACTAGTAAAATGATGTTCAGATGAGATAAGAAAGTAAAATTTGTCTGTCCTTGACCTAATTCCAAGAATAATGAACAGTGTTAACAGAATTGTTTAGGCATGTGAATATGTGTAATCTATTAACTATCAACGAAAAATTCAAACAAAACATTGTGAATTTAAATTATTAAGCCAAATGAAGATAACAGTATTAATTGCTTGGCAAAACTGCGTTTTCATCAAACCCATTAGGTAAGAGCTACTAAAGAGAAAATATTCAAATGATTCTTGTTATTTTTGTTATATCCAAATGAGTGGCAAAGTTGTATTTCTTGTTATTTTTGTTAGAGTTTGCGCTAGGAGCTGAAATGTACAGTTGTATGTACACTCATATGAAAATTCATTTTTGTTGCAGTTCTGAGAGCGAAATAACATCACAATGATAAAGAAGTCTTCAATATCATTAACGTTTTTGGCTTGAGGCATGCTAAACATAATTATTGTGTGGACAAACGGTTAGGTACACATGAAATTGATCCAATAATATGAAGTCATATACATTGTGATACGCTGCAAGTAATAACAGGTTTGGGCAGCATTGACTACTAACAACTAATTAAATGTAAATTCAGTTACTCCAAACTATAATGCCACATCACACAGTCTAGCTTCAAGGTTCTTTTACTCTATAGAATCACAGTAATATCAATTTTGAAATACAATATTCAAAGGATAGAAAAGAATAATAGTTCAACACTAATCCCTAAACTAGATGATAAATTCCTGATTTTAAAATTTTGATTCAGTATATAAACATTTATGAAATTAAGCAGTAACAACTATATGTGCACATGTGCAGGAAAGAACAAATACAATGAACATTTGATTCCAGTTACAATCTACATCAGTTATGCACAGTTAGCATCAAAAACTGATCTTCGTTCAGCAATCATTGAGAGCCAGGAAACACTGGACAATTGTCCCGTCCTAGTATGGCAATCCTCGACAGAACTCATCCACAACCCCGTCAACAGAAATCGAACCCAAGATTTACAGTTCTCACAGCGAGCGCTTAAAGTTTAGAGTTATAAGTCACCACACAATGATTTACATGTTTAACTTCAATCAATTGTTAATATCGTCTAATCATCTGCTAATGCAGTTTGTGGGTAACTGCCTCACATTGACAGGTTTGAATTCCGCTGATGACATCACAAAACGAATACAGAATTAATCCTCGGAAGATTATAGTCAATACATAGGGGTCTTGTGAATCAATTAACGATGTTAACTATAATGCTAGAAGACATAAGAGGGAGGTTCTCACTTCCCGGTTATCCATCCTATCTAGGCGTTTTTGGTGTGTCAGCTCTTTACCTCAAAACAGCTTGCCATCAGAGATGAAAATCCGTCGAGTAAGGTGAAATGTGACATTTCTAGGTCAAACTATCCCATCCCTTTCTTCCGTTGTAAGGAGCCAAGATTGTTGAGGATATTCGTTACTGAAGGGAAACACCTTACTCTCATCACACCTCAGTAAAGTTAGCAGTACGACTTCACCCTTGCACCATGTGTTCACTGCATTTAGTCGCACCGCTTCTCGACTGACCTGTCTAGTATGGCATGATCTCAAAGAACAATACATCCGACCAAAATAGATCGTACGGATAATTAAGGTTGGCAAGCCCGACCACTAAACCAATGTAGCTGCTGAGGTGGGGATATATATATATATATATCATTAATGTGCGATCTCTCATAGTACAACGTAAAATAGTGTCACTCAGTTAAAGGAGTGATTTCTCAGTGTCACAGTCACATTTAAACACAGAATGCGATAACTGGTTCCAATATTAAGAAAGAAAATCAGGAATAAGTGAAGGATATTCACCTAAGACGATTATTTTATACCTCAATGAATTCAAGAAATAACCATGTATAATATGAAGCTTAATATAAAACGTAAGACAGAAAGGGTGTTAGGCGAAATAGCTTATTTAAACTTTACATTAAAAGAAACATTCCCAAATCCTGGAAACCACAGCGAAGTCACCGAAAAAAATCACAATGAATATAAGATTAACATCAATAACATTTTACACACGAAGTATATTCTATCTTGTAGTTACAATCATTTCTTCACTGAATGACTGACTTGGCAAGATTTAACATATATCCTAGGTATATAGCTTCATCAATTATGACACTGATCTATGTACAGTTGGTGCTTTAAAGGAAATATGGAAGTTTCAATATTGCATGGAGCTTGATCAGATTGAAAATCTCATTTTAATAGGTAGGTAGGTGTTCAAACAGAATTCAGCTTCTCATGAAGTAATCAAAACAATGGTTCAGAAATCTAAACACTACTTTAGCTGAATAAATGTAAGTTGATAAAACTTTTAACAATATGACACAAATAATAGATACATCTAAACAAATAACACCGGCTTTCATCTGTGTACCCTTAAGTCTTAGCGGCACAAAATAGCACACTGATGCCTTTTACTAAATTACACAGAATAAATCTTAAATTTGTTTGAAAACTTTTATTCTTGAAACTGTGCATATATATACACAAAACAGACGAAATGCATGTATTATACCGGTTTATTTTATTGTTAAATGTAAAACAGAATGGAAGTAATTATAGGCAGAGATAGATAGAGCTAAGTAGTGGAATCCAGGATACACGTTTCGTCTTATTTTGGACTCACTAGCTGGATATACCTCCAACCCCGCCCTAAGTCACAAACAGTATAAGCAGAGATGGATTGAAGTCATCATCTGGAGTGAAAATCAACTTCCAGATGCAGGTACATCTGGCTGATAAGTCCCAAATAGGACGAAACATTCGTTCTAGATACCATTGTAGGCTACCATTTATCTCTGATTATAATGTTTGTGACTTAAGGTAATATCGAAGCAGTGCATGCAGGATCCACATATACTAATAGGAGATTGATCAATCTCAGTCTTAAACGTCAAGGGGAAGAGTCAAACAACCAACAAAAAAGAATGAAAGCAAATTTTCAAATCCTTATATACTTCGTAATATCACAATGACTAACAAATGTGAAGCAATTTATATGAGCAGTTTTACCTAATTGATGAGATAAACAACGACATGAAATTATATCTTTTCAAACTCAAGTATTAATTAAAACAATCACGAGGATTTTCGGACTGAATAATCTGTAATCATTGGAAATCTTTACAACATTGTCATTTCACTTTGTATGAAGTATTCTTATGTCAGTCAGTCAGCAACAAATAAGAACTTCGTACGTTCGTACATCAGTTCCAGTTGCCATACGACATTAGCATAGAGATACAATTGTCGATTCGAATCCCATAGTGGTAGAGGTGGTAAGAGTATAAGCAGTAATCGGAAAGATTAGGGTTTGAAGATATTATTCAAGGAGTATAATACACTGAAATAAATTTGGAAAGAGGAAAAAAATAGACATGAAGAATTCAAAAGATTAGAATATGGGAAAACACAAAGAGTGAATGCACCTGCGCCATTGCAAACGATTTTGGGCCATGTCATTCAAGGTCTCTAACCATCAGTTGCTATCATCTCGTGGTCCCCAACCAGGTAGTCTACACCTACCAACATGACTCAGCCCACTTGTCAGTGACTTCATGGACTTCTGCCATGTTTTGGTCTGGCTGCCCCTAGCTTTCTTCCAACATACTCCTGCACCGTAAAACAGCACGTCGAGGCAGTCGGTGGTTGGGCATACTTAACACATGTCCCAGCCATCTCAATTGATGAAGTTTCACTACGTCACCAATTGATTTGCCATCCTTACATAGTACCCGTTTCCTAACAACTGCGTTACTTACTCGATGGTCCCAGGATATACGAGCAATGTTTCGAAGACACCTATGATCAAATACTAGTAACGTATGAATATCCTCTACTCTTACCGGCCATGTTTCACCACCATAAAGTATGTCAACTTAGTGTACAAAATCTTCGTTATAAATAAAAGACTACCTGTGAAACGAAAACACTATACATCGAGCATATTATTATCATAGTATATTGCTAAACTTACGTCATTATTCATACGACATAAACGTGCCTGGTTGGAGGCTGAAATTGTGTAGAAAGAATTTGGGTAAAAATTAAAATGATTATTTACATTGGTAAACTGTTAGTTAAATAACATATAAATGATAAAACAAACATTATGTTACAAAAAAACAGAAATTGAGTAGGATTTGAAAAAAATTATCAGTTACTTAGTTATCATTACTTTAGGAATTCTCCAATGAATGTTGTTACAAATAAAAATGTGCTTCAATTAGGTGTATCGACTTTCTTATATGCTGAAATACTGACTTTTTATTATACGATAAGAAATCATCGACATTCAATAATCATGTCAAAGTCTAAGCGCCAGGTTACGAGCGGTTTCATCTAGTCAGCGAAACCATACAGATTCTAGAATTTTGTAACCTGGAATAGCATTCTACCCACGTGAAAATATTATCGAAAGTTGGGATCTCCAAAAAAACAAATCATCGTCTAAATGACTGTAAGTGGATAAATTAATAAAAAACCTAAACATCGGATAAAATCAGTATTAGTTTAATCAGTAAAAGCATCGCGAAACTAGATATTTGTCCTAAAAATTCAGCTTGAGTGTAGAATATACGAAATGCATAATTTTGTCAGTATAACAAATAGAAAACTAATAATTGAGTGGTTTTCAACAATCTGACTAATTACACTTGATGTAATCTTCATACATCAAATAGAAAAAGTAATAACACTTGAACTAATTATATCGACCCAGTTTTGTTTTGTAATTTAATTTCGTTCCTACACCCTTAGTCAAAATAAAGACAGTCAATAAACCAGAATAATGTTTAACTTCAACAAAAATAGTCTGATTTCTTTTTCAGTCATCAAAGAAAACAAACAAATCAATTCTTTTATGACAGAATTTTAATGTTAAACCAAAATAAAAATGAGTTTTTCAATCAGTGTTAAAAACTTTTCTACTTTTAGGTAAACGATTTTGAGACAATTTATGGTGTTTTTTAACAAGTTCCAAATTAATGACACTAAGATTGAAAATGAAAGAAATATAGAAAATAACTAAGAGGGATAAATACATACGCATAAACATTGAATATAAAAATGAATGTGGATAGAATTAAAATAATCAAGCGTAATTCGATGTAAAACTCACCTTCAAGTAATTGAGCATTGAGATGTTCAATAATACGATCTTGTTCCTTAATTTTCAAATCTTTTTGATTAGTTTGACTAAACAAAATCCATTGAAAGAAAAACACGAAGTTTACAACGAATAATACTTACAAAGTTTTTTTTTATATTTTAAAATAAGTAACTGTAGACGATACTCTAAATTATTATATGGATAACAAGGAGAAATAAACTAGTCCTTTGTAAAAAATTTTGTACTGGATTGTTAGCATACTAAGTTTTAGCCGATATAGATCTTAAAATTCTACTGATGTGTGACGACAATTAAACCCTGAAATAACAATAGCCATGTCGCTACCAAAATTGTATATGCATAACATGTCAGTTGTTGATATCGTTGGAAAAAGTGTTTTTAAAGTGAATCAACTACTAAGAGGTGAGGTATTTATTTAGATGTAAAATAAAAGAAACTGAGTAAGGAAGAAAAGAAATATATTTTTAGTAAGCAACTTATTAAATATTTATTATTGGTTGAAATCGTGGATGCGCACTGCTGAGGAGTCCCATACTAGGACGAAACGGCAGTCCAGTGCTTCCAGGTTTTCCATAGTGGTCTAGCTTCAATTGACTCATGATTTCAACCAGTGAAGTTTCTAAAAATCTCCACAAAACCCATTCTGGAAATATTTATTAGTTTAACGTTAGATTTGCATTTCGGAAAGATTTTGTGATTTTACGTTATCTGAGCTGGAAAATCTTTTATATGTTTTAGATGATAACATTGATTAGAATAATAAGAAAATAAGCTACGATAATGAATCATTCTCCATTAAGAACATGAAATTACTAAAGAGGAAAGATGTCCAGAACGTGTAATATTATCTATTTTATTTGGCTTCTAACGCATAGAAACACCCTCTATTCGTTAAATATCTTCCGAATTGATCATTATACAAGTAATTTACGTCTACTAACAGAAGCAATTTGTTCAGGCTCAAAACACTACTTGACATAAAAATCATTTTAAAACATAAATAAACACGAAATTTTGAATTATTTCTTGATACAGACAATAAACTTTATCGTAGACGAACAAGAAGCTTAACATAAATAATTTTTTTAAGCAATACAAAAAGCTGATAACGAATTCACAAATGTGTAAAAAGCAAAATGAACGGACATAAACAGCAAATCACATAACTAAAGTCACTAACAAGAATAAGAAAGAAACATCAATTGGAAATATAACATAACTCTATTACGGTAGTTTTCTAAACGATGGAAAAACTAAGACAGAGGACATGAATCGGTCGACAGAAATGATGATTACTCGATTGTAAAAAAGAAACTTAGCAAAGTGTAGCAATTATGCGCTTGCATAGTTAAAAAGGACATGACCTGAAACATCTATTTGATATATAGACGCGCAAACGATCATAATGATATTCCAACAATCTAAACTACACACACACATTAACCAACTATATACAACACACAATTTTACTAATGGGATGATAGAATAGTTACAAAAATCTATTCACTTTATTTAAATTAAGCGAGACATTAAGTAGTAGTACAACTCGAAAGTAGCTCTAGTATGAAATAAGTAAAACATAATATAAATAAGAACTATAATAATCAATGCACACATGACTCATTTTATCACTAAGCTATATTTACATAAGCTTAAATAAAAACAAATGCATACACACAATTGCATATATATATATATATATATATATATATAATCATACAAAACATGTGTTAAACAGCACAAGCCAACTACTACCTATTACCTTATCAAAATGAATATTTGTCACATGTAAACAGAAACATGTTCAAACAGTAAAACAAACAATAGTAGTAAAAATAGTAGAGTGTAGATTTGTAAAAAAAAAGGAAAGCCTAAAACTACAAATACATATACACTGAGATGAGGTGCTTATTCTTCGGTAGTTGAAGTACTGAAATGTTACGTGATAAGAAAGAAATATAAATTGTATATTGACATTTAATAAATGAATGAGAGTTTGTAAAATCGATGAGTATTTTATGACACAATTATTCATATTTACTGATTGACAGGATGCCAAAAATTAAGAAAAGGAACATTGATACAGTAATTTGTCATGTTAAAAATACCACACCTACTTAATACTGAGAAATAGACCATGAACAAACAAGAGGAACAAAATAATATGCTAGTAGAGTATGAATAAAGTAAATAGTGATAAATAAGAGGATTTTACGAAAGCGAATCACCGTATTCATTGTATACACCTTGTCGTTCCTATGATGATAATGTAAATATTAGAATGTCTCATGTCAAAGATAAATTGGGAACTGATTTCGAAAATGAAACATGTTCGCGTTTACTCATCATTTTCGTTTAACCTAAGTAAATCAATTTGTAATGAAGTTATCAATTCAATTGAACATTAAATCTAAAGTATTAATATGTGGATATTCACTGAAATGACGTAAAACGAAGTCGATACTAACGGTTAGACTCTAAGACGAGTCATGAGACTCCATTTAACTAGAATAAAACGGAATGTATCCGGCATACAAAAAGATCATGTTATATTTTTTTTTAAAACTAGAGAAAACAGTGCATCACTTACTCATACATCTCTTTCAAACGAGCCTCAACTTCTTGTAGACGGAGTTCTGCTTGTTCCCTCGCTTTTACTTCATTATTTAAAGCTACCTCATGACTCCATCTTTCCATTTTATTTAACTTAGTAGATTTACGTTGACGCCAGTCCAGTGTGTTCTCAACAATAACACTTTGTGCAGGACTGTCATAAGCTAAAGAATTCACATCGTTTGGACGCCATGATGATTGATAACCATTCGGGCACACACCATTCTGATTATAATCTTGTACCAAACCTGAAGCACGAAGTGTATCCAATTCAGACACTAAGCGCATTGTGAAATTCTATGCAGGCAAAAACATTAAGTGAATACATCCAATGAACAATACTCTATAACAACATATGAATAATAATTAGAAATATTTAGTACTAATAAACTGTCACCTAATATAAAAGTAGTAGTCTAAGATGAAAGTTGCAGGTGTAGCATGCAATGATATATGTCATTAAAAATGATTTAATGATTAGTTATCATCTAGAAGCATCAGCTGGATTTGAACCATAACTTCAACTGATAGTATCACTAGTATTGTTAGCTAATGACAATCATTTTACTTACAAAAGGATTCGTTAAGAAATAGGAAAAGTAATATAATGTTACATATTAATCAACTCATATTCATATGCTTCACTTACACAAGGTAAGGAGGAGCAAATAATACAAAAACAAAAGCTAATGATAAGAAACGTCGTTGTAGTCTGACAAAGCCATTATATGCGCCTCAGTGATTACAGTATAAAGGGTAGGGGTTTAGTGTGAAGACCACAAAACAGGAAAATAAGCATTTTTCTAATACACTTTTAACAAGGTACTGAACATAATTTAACAAATACAGAGTTTACGTTAGGAAGTCATAGTAAAAAAGTGACAACTCGAAACATTACAACAGTAAATATAAACACAACACTTACATGCAGTTTTTCTTTAGCTTCACGTTCATCATCAACCCACTGATTTAACTCGAATAAATGGCGTTCCCAATTAGCTATATTATTTTCAAGCTCAGCATTATTCTCTTTAAGTGTGGTCAACTCATCTTCTAACGCAATAGTCTTGTGAAAGTAGAAAGAAAGAATATTGAAAAAACAGTAATATTTCATGTTGTTAAACCTTTAAGACAAGAATATACGACATGTAATAGAGAACTCCTCTTGCATTTTTAAAATGGTTTCTACTTTCTAATGCATTAAAGAAACTCTTTATTGACCAAGTACAGACTTTTTTCTTTCTCTGGAATAAAGATTTTCACCTATACAAAATTACGTTCACTAAAAGTTGTTTATGTTAGGTCCCGAGAAACAATGAATGGTAACTTTGGGATCCTTCTATGGACCAATACTAAACGTATATTTTTATCGTATAATTGTGTACGCCCTGTACTACCAGGCAACTTAACCAACGAATAAGTGAACATCTACCAACTTGGTACATAAAGGGCCAGATAAAATCTACTCGCAGTTCTATCTTGGCACATCTCATTGATAGCGGTCATATTGTAGATAAATCGAAGTCATTTCGTGTTATCTATCGTATACCTCCATCATTCCCCAACGGAGTTCGTTCCCGCCTCCTACATATAGCTGAAGACATTGGAATTCGTACATATAACCCCAATTTATGTGTACAGAAGAAATACGTAACCCCCCTATCCCTTCCATGGCCAGTTATAACTTAACTAACGAATTTTTTTAATTTTATTATTATCATAATTTATTTTATTCTATTTTGTTATCATTAACCTTATTTCCACATCCATTATTTGTCTGTAATTTTCCGCCTCTTTGTATTCTTCACTATCTAATTATTTACACACATCTTATTACGTAATGATTTTAATGTTTTGTGATTACTATTCCTAGTCTATTTACCCATGTATGACCTATTTCCAACTATTGATAAGACTTTTGTTATTGTGTATTATTATTCTTACTACTATCAGTTCACCTGTCTTCCTACTATCAACTTGTACTTTTACCTATTATGTGTAGAGACTTATTCTATTTCATTGTGATTATTGACTCATATTGCCTTGATTGGTTTACATTTTCGTATAAATATTCATGTATATTAGAGTAAAGCCTGATGACGATCCAATTGAAAACAATTGTTCGCTTATATGTGTTGTTCTAATTTTCACAATGAAAAATGAATAATCAGTAGATTTTTTTGAAATTTCTTAACATTTCCCTTGACCACTGGAAACGTTTAAGAATCGCATCCTCGAAGCATCTTCGGTCTATATGCATCTCTGTAACAAGTCTTACGTGGCGAATTCCGACATGGTTAAGGTGTTCCAATGGTGCTTCACATAGAACATCTATTCCATTGAAAGGTATCTAGCATCATGTTGGATGAGTATGTCATAGAAACATAGCCTGAACTCATTATTCTCTCACCCCAGCAGATCTACTTTTGATTGCTTGTACAGGTTATGAATGCTCCTCGTACAATATACAGAACTTTCCCAATTCTTTGTTCGATAACCCCTGATTTTTACTGAATTCAGAGTGTGACTACAAATGCCTCTTGTCTTACAAGAAGATTATAAACAAACGTATATGGCCAGTGGCCCTCCGACTGAATAAGTGATTTAATACACTTGCTCTTACGCGAAACTATACACTATTTAATAACTGAAACAACAATACCATATCAATATAATCGAAAAAGGAATTGAGAAAATACTTCCACGTAAAACAAATGAAATAATATCAGTTACCTTTTGATTAACGGCTATCTTAATTTTCTCTTCTAACAACTCACGTTCTTTCATCCATTCTTTTTGTTCTGACTCCCAGCCTAATTTCAAGCTTTGTGCTTCATGTCTCACTACTATTAGGTTCTCCATGACCCGTTTTAGCTTGGTTTCACTTTCATACAAACGTTCCCGTAGATCAGAATCTGATGAATGGTTGTTAATATGTGAATGTTGTGTTCCATTGACTAGATTGGTTGATGATGACGAAGAAGACGATGATATGGAGATATTGTGACATTTTATCCCGTTTTCTAGGCTTCTAGATTCATTTTTATGCAGTAAATCACGTACATCATTCAATACAGTATGATTATCATATTCACGATGTGAAGCCAGTTCTCCACGTAATCGAGCTAACTCAGATAACAACTGATTAGTACATAAATCAAAATATACAAAAGTAGACGTAATATGAAGATTAAACTTAAAAACTATATCAAATGGGTTTTTGTGGAAATTGTAGTAATTTCAATGGTTAAGATCATGAGTCAGTTGAAGCTAGACCACCATGGAAAACCTGGAAGCACTGGACGGCCGTTTCGTCCTATTGTGGGACTCCTCAGTGGTGGTCTAGTGGTTAAGTGCTCGGGCGCGAAACCAGTAGGTCCTGGGTTCGAATCTCGCAGGGGGCGAGGTCGTGGATGCGCACTGCTGAGTAGTCCCACAATAGGACGAAACGGCCGTCCAGTGCTTCCAGGTTTTCCATGGTGGTCTAGCTTCAACTGACTCATGATCTTAACCATTGAAATCAAAAACTATAACCAAGTCAGTAAATGAATCAAAATTATAAACAAGTAGTTGTGGTAGTATGGTAGATGTGGTAGTAAATCACTTCAAAACTAATTAGCTTCCTGTTAAGATAAATTATTTACGAGATTTTAGTACTTTTCACGAGTTTGATTGATTTACTTTTAATTGGTGTTATCGATAGCAAATAAATCATTTTTAGTCAACGCAACATCGTGCGAAGTTTAAATTTGTATAAACATTAAGAACCGAAGAATGAATATATTACTCTAAGTATATCAAGTTCCTAATTCTTAAAAACTTTGTAATACTTTGCTTATTTATGAGTATATACATTTCTTTTACGAAAAATATTTGAACTAGTACACTGATACAGTAATACAGCAGTTTACTTACATTATTTTCTCTTTTTGGAGATATTGTTTAAGTTGATTTGTACAGGAATAACAATTAACTAATTAGTTTCCTTAATATAACAAATGCAGTTAGACGTAACTATCGTACTAGGAGCTTAGGTAAGAAAAAAGGAGCTATTCACGAGAGCATGAGAAAATAGTTAGCATACTTCAGCAAGTAACTGCTCAGTGAGTAAAATGCACGAAAATTCTAATTACAATTGAATTATTCTTTTATTAAAATAAAATTTTGAAGACATCAAATCATATGTTAACTATGTTTATGTGTCGAAAGTAAGAGTAACTTTGTAATTTAATGGACGCGTGCAAAGTGAAAACATACTAGTACTATTCGCACATTCCAAAATTATGACAGCTGTCGAAATTAAACCTGGCAGATAGTTCGAGTTAAGAAGAAGCGATTATAATTTATTTACCTACATAAATGCTTCATTGATAAGGAAGATCGGAAAGCGCAACGCTGAGAAGTGGTTACCTGATTAAGGATTTGCAGGTATGATTTTTCAAGGTGTTAGAAATAAGTTAATGCGGAAAAATATTACTAACTTTAGTCAGTCCCAACATAAATGTTATAACCGCAAGAAATAAATACCCCTACTTAATGAATTACAATGAATAAAGCTTATATGAAGGTGAGTCGATAGAACCATAATCAGATAAACGTGCACAACTGGTTTGATTTTATAGTTAAATATTACGGCAAACATGATAAAACCATTTGAAAATTTATTTTACAAAGTAACTCAAACAAATATACATGTAAAATACTTACCTCACTATGCTCTGACTCCAACAATCTGATAGCTAACTGAGCATCTGCGGCACGCTTACATAGTGTTTCATTTTCTTCTTCGAATGCCCGTACTTCAGACTGTAACTTTTCTCGTAACTCATGTTGTTCTGAGAGTCTAAAATCGGCGGCAAATATGTTGAGAAGTTCATTTACATAAGAAAATAATTTAGCGAATGTATGTTATTAGGTTTTGTTAGCAACTTAAGTACATAGCCAATAATGCTTTCGAACCAGCGTTTTAATGATAAAATCACGCCCATTGGGAAAAAGAAAGCCTATAAATAGGTGAAGACTCAATCTGAAATAAACACATAGAACAGCTACATCCAATCTAACACCTTTCGAATCACCACTCTGATAAAGTTATGCTGAAAAAGTATGAACAGGTTGCATGCGATCACAAGATTACATAATGAGTGAAACGCAAGTTTTGGGAACTATTAGTGATAGGATAATTATTCGCCAACCCAAGGTGACTCTGAGCATATATTCCTGTCTGCACCAGTCCATTAACTTGTATACATACGCCAACTGTGTACATCACTATACAGCTTTTGTCCCCCAGACACTTCGTCTCCTTATTCTGAATAACTAGCTGAGCAAGCTTTAAGAAGCGTAGACAACTGAATTTGATCTAGGAACATAATAGATAGCTCCGTTTTATTAAAATGAAGAGTTGTCTGGCAGCTGCCCCCGTCCAATCAAAATTAAATAGGGCGTATAGTGATGTTCACTTACTTAAAGGCATTGGCTATATGATAAATTTGCCCCACAAAATTTGATCACAACTAAGGACTGAAAGTTGGTCACTAAAACTAGTCGATTGGTGTAGGAGTCATTTGCGATAAACTAAAAAACAAATCTCGATAACCACAAAAGGCCACTTTATACAGGAACATAATGCTTAGACAATTAACCACAAAGAAAATTGTGGACAAAATTATTGAAAGAAACGGAGGAATTGATAAAATCACTTGGTAATTATAGGAACAAAATAACTTTATCAACGTAAGACGATAATACATTAGGTAAAAGCTATAATTATGTTAAAACTAAGTATCACTTATGTCTGTTGTATGAATGGTTCTGAACTGAAGGCAAAAACGGCAACTACAAATGAAATAAAAAATGAGATATTTTCCCTCGTTACATAACGGCTAAAACGAAATATTGATCAAGTGAAACGAAAATGAGAAGTAATCAAAAGCTTGGCAAATTACATGAAATATATAAGCCAAAAGAACATTTCTAACGCACAAAAAACGCCCATACTGAAACACCTGGCAAGTATTGATAGCAGTTATGAATTAAGGAAATGTGTCTGTAATCGTTGATAGCTTCTAAGAATAAATGCTCTCAAGAGAAACTCAAGTGATCTTTGTTTTACTTTCAAAAACGAATGGTGAGATATTGTCAGTCATTTAGTGCTAGAAAAGTTTTAGTGATGTAAAAGTCAATTAGATGTATGCTCCTATAAATTTATTTCGGGCAAAACTTCTTAAAAATTGAAATACTAATAATAATTCTATACTATACTATATATACGTGTACTATGGGAAACAATATTACTTTTCATTTATGCTCATAAGATGACGATGTCACACCAACAAAGTTTTTAAAGGCAAAGGAATATCAGCACTTAGCTAATTCATTTTATAAGATTATCTTATAAGTCTTCTAAAACATGTCAATTCAGAATAACTTAGTAATAATAAAACAAGATTACATATTCGGCTCTGAAAAACACAATGTGTAAAACTGCATCATCACCCCAGATGACAGGAACACAAGTAGGCTGAGCGTAATTCGAATTAATAACTTAATTAATCAGTCGGTAATTACCAACGGAGAGTCTAGCACACAAGTACATTGACCGAAGATCCCATACCACGACGACGAGATAAAATTAACAAGATAAATAGTAAAAAGAGGATCGAAACAATTTAGTAGCAACGACAATAAGAAAGACCAAGCAACAACAACAATATAGTTCAAAAAGACTGGGATTCAAGACCTAGATGATAAATAGCAAATGCACCTGTACCACTAAGAATGATTGAGGTATACCATTTTATTTAGTCTTAAGTCTTCTCGGGGATCCCAACCACATAATCTGCCTCAACACCCATGGCTCAAACCAACAGACAATAGATTCGTGGGCTGACGTCACTTACTTCTGCTATTCTCAGCTTTCTTTGAGCCTACTCACACCAACAAACATCGCCAGTAGAGATAGGCGGCGACTGGGCAGACGTAACTCATGTCGTGACCACGTCAATCGATGAATATTCATAACCTCATCAACTAATTTGCCACCTTCCCTAAGTATCCCACGCTAGACCTGATTGACTACTTGCTTGATTCGAAAATATGTAAGATCAATAACCTGCAGCCTGCGTATGTTTGCTACTTTTAAATATTGTGTTCCACTGACATACAGTGGTATAGAATGAACTGTTGATCAGTATATTCAAACTTTCGTTGGTAGGTGGACATTACATGGTTTACATTACAAGTAATGGAAGTTGGCAAACGCCATCCCAGTATTCTGAATCCATACAAAGATTTAGTCAGACACCAACTCACTCGAGGATGAGACTTCTAAAATAAGTGGAGCGGTTGATGCACTCAACTACTTTACTCCTTATCGTTAGTTCAGAAGTTGACGCAGACCAGTCATGAAGCAATATTTTGCTTTAGAGGGAGAGAAACGTATTCCGAACATGCTTGCATTGTTGCTCAACATAATGGCTGAATGGCGAATTTTTTTAAACAGTAAGGCACCGTCTCACTTCAAAAGGATACATTTGTACACGCTACCATTATTGTCAGTGATACATAGTGGAGAAAACTCCCGACATAATGTCACAGTGTGAACTGTCAGTCGTTCCTGATAACTGTTGAAAATCAATAAGTATATTGATAAATTATTACAAATCATAAATCACAGCTAAGACGACTGTAAATAGTTGGACAAAAATACTACTTTTTGGTAGAAATATACATCGAAAGGCTTACTCATTTCTAAGCAGATCTACAGTAGCTGAAATCAGTTGATTCTGGGCTTCTGATTCTTTAAGTTTCTGAGACAAAATTTCGACTTGTCGTGTTATGGTATTAACGGTTGAAGTATCACCTGATGATACATCTTGCTTTTCCAAATTATTTGTTGTGGGGTCCGACTCCGACTTTACAGATACTTGATCACCCTTGGATTCCCGATAACACGACAACGTGCCTTTTAATTCCGTTATTTGCATCTGGAAAACAGACAACATAAATACATTCATTAATAACATGCATTATATAACATCGATAGTAAGAAGAGAACGACAGAAAAGTTTAAATAAGCATGTAAGAATGGAAAGTATGAGAATCGATGATACGGTGTTCATGATCCGTAGGGAAAACAAAGGGTGTAACCGGGTAACTAGTGTCGAATTCCATTCATGAAATAAAGTCCAAAACCATAGAGAACGGCTTCCTCACAGATCCTAACGCGGGTAACATTTTCACTGTTGACTTGTGCTAGCCAGGGTAAAACTCGAGAGTAGGTAGTCACAGTGTATGTAATGTATATTCCAACCACATTAGTTAGTGTTAAACACTAACAACCGCTCATAAACTCTGAACCCAATGACCATGTCTGAATCTGTAAAGTAATACAGAATCAACTTTGTCTGGAAATAACCAAACGGTCTATTTCTACTTGTCATGATTGCAGCAGCCAATAAACCATCAAGGATAAGATCCCAAAGAAAAATGTGGTAATCAATGCAATCGACAACTTCACTTCGTATAATCAAGAGCCTACGGTAATATCAATAATGTAGGTTTCTAAGAATTAAGCACTATTAAAAGACCCTCCCCCTGTGTGATCATCAGTCGGATAGGTCTTTCAATTAAGTTGCAGAACATATCGATATAATTTTATTCCACGAACAAAAAGACCTAAAAACTTGGTCTATATAGACGCGATTAGACTTATGTTTTCGGGATTACAAATTATATCCAATAGGGTGCCGAATAATCATGAAAACTGGTATCCTAGTTGCTATAATAATGAAACTTGTTTCTGGATTTTTATCACATGAAAATTTATTCTTTCATTTATTATGACGATCAAGATTTGACTGATCAGTGCCATTGTACATATAAACGTTTAGTATTTTAACCTGGAGATCAATAATAAAATGGCCAGTTTGCCCGATCACAATTTCACAAACTGATGGTTACTTTTGTTTTAATTTGATTTAGAGATGTGTGGAGACGCATAGGAAGTATAGAGCTATTGGTTCGCTTGAATACCACAAGCTAAGATAATTGTTGTTAGCATTATACATACTACGGAGATCAGAAATTTATTATCATCTTAAATATAAAAGATTAACTAGATTAACAAGTTATAACGATTACTCATACAGTAACTACAGAAAGTGATTTTTCAAGTGAAAAGAAAGTAAGTATTTCCCAATATGGTTAGATAAGTGAATCGATATAATGTACAGGTAGATGGTAATATATATTTGAGACTGAGTATTTTTTCAAAAACATTCAGAACATAACAAGCGGAAAAATACTAAGACCAGAAATTTTGCTTGTTATGCCTCTAACTAATAATAATAATAATAATAAGAAGAAGAAGAAGAAGAAGAAAGAAGGGGAAGAGGAAGAAGAAGAAAAAAAAGAAGAAGAAGGGGAAGAAGAAAAAGAAGAAATGTCAGTCATCCCCTATTCAGAGAGTTTAGGAATTTTTCGTGACTTTTATACTTATTTTAGGCAAAAATAAAAAATCACAGGCATTTGACATTAGTTCGAAAGTTGCAAATATCAGTAGTTTGATAAAATAAGAATAGCCGGAACTAAAAATGTATATGTTTTGAGGAAATGAGAACTTATTGCACCACCTTTCTGAACAAATGTAATCTCAGCATGATAGTTTACACAAAACAGTTTAGCCCTATCAGTATTATTTATTTATTAACACATATGAGGGTGAAATCCGGAAGTATGTGTGCTATAAAATATCACATCCGAAAATGTTTGAAAAAATTGTAAGGTGAACAAGTGATTATTTCCATATAACTAGGTTGAATGAAATACCTTCAAAAATCCTTAGTAATTAATATATTTACAATACAAAATATTATCAAAGTAATATTTGAGATTAAACTAATTTAGAGACTGAATTTCAACATAGTATATGCGTTTATCTACATAAAATCTATGAACCAAAAGATGTACACTGATTAATAGTTGACATTAGCGTTGTGGTATGCAGACATTTGAAAATAAATCTAGTATAAGAGTTATTATATGCAACATGTTTTGCATGCAAAGAAAGGAGCGATACATACATAGTATCATGAAATGAAATTACGTGTACACTTACTTCATAATTCTCGCATTTTGTCCTCAAACCTTCAATTACTTCAATCAGAGCTGGTTCATGTGTCTCACTGCTGAACTTCGATGCATTTGAGGGGTTTAATATTTCACTATGATCAGATGGTAGACTAATATCATTTAAAACATGTGCATCAGAACTTTTAGGATTAGAAATTTCCTCAGAACATTCCGATTTATCTTTTGATGTCATTCTATAATGTGTAGGACCTAATTCATTCAGTGGTGAGTTGTTTGTGAATGTAAATCCAATACATGCAACCTGACATCCTCGAAAAATCGGTCCAAGTGGTGGCCCTTCCTAAAATTAATTGACAGACTGATTAAGTCCCAAAAAGTCAAATAGAGATCATTTTCTTAAAATAAACATGACTAATAGAGAAATACGGTATAGAACAATAAGTTTAAAAAAAGTGACTTCTGCAGTCAAATATATCATATGTTAAATTTAAAGGTAAGGTATCTACGACTGACTGTGCTACCATCTAGCTACTTGTCACCTCTCATTTCAATTTGGAATGTTTGAAGGATACAAAGAAACCATTAAATCTACCAACTTACACAATGATAGATAATAATATTAAAGGATCTCTCTTTAGAAAGAAACTGATGAACTACGATGACTTGGAAGTTCTCTCATCCTGAATGTTTCGACCATCGACAAAATTAGGGACGCTGATAATCCACGATGTTTACTTAACGAACCGACTAACATGTGAAGCCATAAGTACAAGGTTTTAAAGTGACCTGGCACAACTGAGGGTTGGAAAGGTCTATTTTGTCTCAAGATATTTTTATACGACCACAGGTTTACAGCCTCTTGTAAGGGATCTTTTCACAAAAGTGAGGAGAAAGTCTCTGTAAGTTAAACACAGTGAATATAGAAGGTTCAATTATGTAAGTCGGAAAACGGCAATATTTGTTTAGACACAGTGACGAAGTTAAGTTAATATGTGTTACTATCATAAAACATAGTATATCAGTGGCTTGAACACGTTTTGATCTCATCGGCTTCCATATCGCGCGTAGATAGTTTATTAAATGACACCATGGATGACTTTCGATATTATTTCTCACCCTATGATGATCATCTTTTTGAATTTGTTCTGACTGTAGTGAAGTAACGTGTATCAACTCAGATTGCCGCACACCCGTACTAGATCCTACATTGATGATGATTGGTTAATCGACCGTGAAATGATAGCTGAATCGGGTCAGTGTCCACTAGTTTATACTACCATATAAAATAGAATGACTATCTATATTGAAATGAATATTGTATAAAAGCAATAAATAATTTGCTACCAGTGATCGCTACAGCTGCCTGAAATTTACATAGAAAAACAATCAATTACAGCTACAAAGCATCAAGATTGAGTGTAAACACGATATTCGGTGTTAATAAACGAAAAAACAGATGGTTATTTCATATTTTACATGAAGTGACTTTATTAGCTAATATAAATCTCAACACAACTTATTAGTCGATAATTACAGATAGCAAAGAATATTCACCGCTTAAAGGATTTAATTACAAAGCTTAAGATAAACTTATTGTATTGTTCTGCACTAGTCATCCATCTAATGTCAACCACATAAATTATATTGACTTACGTGATTTCGAGAAGATTGTTCAATATCAAAATTGGAAGTGTCGTCTGGACTGGTGACTTCGGGAATGTACGGAGGATTTTCTAAGGTGAATATTTAAAAAAAACAATCGTTGAAGGTTTCATTACATTCCAAGTATGATTCATGTAGTATTCACGTTCTAGCAACTACATTTGACCTCCAAAAAGTCTGCTAAACGTACTAATGACCCTACTGGTTGTTTGATTCTCCACGTCGATGTGATGGACTGAAATTTGTCAGTCTCTTTTGGTATATGTGAATTTTGTATGAACTGCCTCTAAATTAACATTATTGAGTCACTAACATTTTAGTCAGAGTTGGATAGTGGCTGACAGTGGGTCCAGGGCACGAGTTTCATCTTGTTTGAGACTCATCAGCCGGATGGAACCAATCCATTATTGATGTCAACACCAAGTAAAACAGACGGAGCAGTCAAATAAAATATCGTGATAATATAGCACTAAAACCTACACACCATATTTACTAAGAAACATAAAAGCCTAACATTTCTCAAATATGAGATAGTTATCTAATTCAATATGTGTTGAATGAGTCCATAGTCGTTTTACAAAGTTGGTTAACTCATTGGTCCGTGTTACGCTTTTGTTAGGTATTTGGTAACCATTAGGATTTGCAGTAACTGAGGTTTGAAGAATGACTGGTGATTTGTGAATACTAATGTATTATTATACTGCAAAGATACTCCACATTCTGTTCAGCAAGATTTGGGATGAAGAACAAGTACCAACAGACTGGAAAGAAGGACTTCTGATCAAAATACCAAAGAAAGGCGATCTCAGCAACTGTGATAACTACAGGGGCATCACTCTTCTCTCAATACCAGGAAGTCTTCAACAGGGTATTGTTAAACAGAATGAAGGACTCCGTAGATGCCCAACCTCGAGACCAACAGGCTCGATTCCGTAAGGATCAATCGTGTACAGACCAAAACGCAACACTACGGATCATCGTGGAACAATCAATTGAATGGAATTCATCACTCTACATCAACTTCATTAACTACGAAAAAGAATTTGATAGCGTGGACAGGACAACACTATGGAAGCTTCCTCGACACTACGGCGTGCCTGAGAAGATAGTCAACATCATACAGAATTCCTATGATGGATTAAACTGCAAAATCGTGCATGGAGGACAGCTCACAGAGTCGTTCGAGGTAAAGACCGTTGTCAGGCAAGGTTGCTTACTCTCACCCTTCTTCTATCTCCTGGTGATCGACTGGACCATGAAGACGTCAACATTTGGGGGGAAGCATGGAATACAGTGGACAGCTAGGATGCAGTTGGACGATCTAGACTTCGCAGATGATTTGGCTCTTCTATCGCACATACAACAACAAATCCAGGAAAAGACGACCAGTGCAGCAGCAGTAGGTATCAACATACACAAAGGGAAAAGCAAGATTCTCCGATACAACAGCATGCAACAATCAAATCACAATTGACGGAGAAGCTTTGGAATATGTAGAAACCTTTACATATTTGGGCAGCATCATTGACGAGCACGGTAGATCTGATGCAGATTTGAAGGCGGGGATCGGCAAAGAACAGCACATTTACAACTGAAGAAGATCTAGAACTCAAAACAACTGTCAACCAACACCAAGGTCGGAATTTTCAATACAAATGTCAAGACAGTTCTACTGTATGAGGCAGAAACCTGGAGAACTATGAAAGCCATCATCTAGAAGATACAAGTGTTTGGGAACAGCTTTCTATGCAAAATACTTCGGGCCCGTTGGCCAGACATTATCAGCAACAACCTACTGTGAGAGAGAACAAACCGGATCCCAGTGGAGGAAGAAATCAGGAAGAAGCACTGGAAGTGGATAGGACACAGTGAGGAAAGCACCCAACTGCATCACAAAGCCCTCACATGGAATCCTCAAGGCCGAAGGAGGAGAGGAAGATCAAAGAACACAGGCCGAGAAATGGATAGACATGAGGAGAATGAACAACAATTGGACCGAACTAGGAAGGAAGGTCCAGGACAGAGTAGGTTAGAGAATGCTGGTCGGCGGCCTATGCTCCATTGGGAGTAACAGGCGTAAGTAAGTGATGTATTATTATGCGGCCTACAACACTAATTTTGATATTGGTGGCGGATGGGTCCCGATATCAAAATAATCTAGCAAATCATTTGTTCCTAAACCCGAAATTTGTGATCACAGATGACTATTCATTCAAAACAAGTACATCTTGCACGTGAATATAATTCGGTGAAAATGATGATCCATTTCAACCTAAATTAGACAGGAATGGATTATGAATGGTCTTGAGTGCTGTTAGAGATGTGAGAACGTTTCTCACTTTCCGGTTCCCCACACCGTCGAAGGGTTCTTCTAGAGGTACCTGAAAAGGAAATTCAGTTAGAGTTGATCTAAGTGACCTGAGAGCGTGACCGCAGTGCCCAAAAGACAACTGCCTGAAGTCGGTCACACACGACCTTTTTGTGAGTAGTTTTTGTGTTAGCTCCGTACTTGTTGAGACCCTATCACCGAAAACGGATATCTGCGGATAAGGCGAGGTGTGTAATTTTAAGGTCGACCATTTCTAACCCCACCCTTCCTTTGCGGGAAGGTAGCATCGTTGTTATACTGGTTGTCTAAGGGGAACACCTTACTACTTTTGTACAGCCAACATTATGACTTCGCACTTGGACCTTGGGTTTGCTGTTTTTTAATCTTACCGTTCTTCAACCGACCTGCCTGGAGTGGTAGGACCTTGAGGAACGATTGTTCCAGCCAGCATAGCCCGGTTGGTTTATCACGTAGGCAATTCAAACCACCACATCAAAGTAGCAGAAGTGTTGCAGAAATAAATATGAACGAATTCTAATAATCTACGTATGTTTCCAAAAAATATACACAACATACGTGCCACCATTACGTCTTATTTCATTGATAAAATTCACTCACGATTCAAGAGATGCATGTCTTAGAGATAACCAGACAAATGTACTTAGCAAGAAATGTAGGCACAACTAATTAAGGAAGGTCAGAATACAAACTATATGGCTAAAAGTATCAATAAAACGATGAAATAGCACCAGACGAAGGTATCTACATGAATAATCTCAGGAAAGTAAATAATGTTAATACCAGTTCCGGTATTTTATATTTTACCGTAACTATATAAAGTGTTACTGTCAAAAGTGCTTTTTGTAGACAGATATTGTGTATTGTCCAGAACAGCTGAATTGTCAACAGTATATTTATTCAACTTGAAAAAATATTTTAGGTACATATAACTTACGTTCATGAATGTGTTCCCAATCTATGCCATTAAAAAAAGCATGGCCCTTCAACTCATCTATTCCATTTCGACCAAATCTTCGTTTCCGGTCACAAATTAGATGTCGTATTAGGTCACATGCTGATTCGGAAATTTTTACACAATCAGTCGGAATGGTAAAATGTTTCTAAAAATAGATAACGATTTTATAATTTTAAAATACCTACATATATGAAGTACCTGGTAAACAGAGTATTCATGCAAATGGTGATAAAAACTACTTTGCTCTCTACTATTAGATTGATTCAGACCACTCTCGAAGTAACATTTTGCACTTAGGGGGAGAAAACTACACCCAAAACACACCTGCATTGTTTCTCGAAGTGTCCAAAAGACTACATTTAGTCAACAAACAAAACCTTATCATCAGTTGCCACACTGTATTAGCAGTGTAATGCGATTAGATATAGAAAGGAAAAGCATAAGATTTCGAGGTGCAAGACCTAAGAGAGAAATAAAATTGAGTGCAGCTGTCATTGAGACTGATCCTGAACTCTGTAACCAAACGTCTATAACCACTAGTCACAGCTGTTGTGCAGACTCCAGACAGGTAGTCTTTATATGCCAACACAGCTGACTTCATAGACGGATGCCACGTTTTAGTTCGGCATACGTAATACATGTTCAAACCACCTTAGCAAACGACGATTCACTACATCAACCGATTTGCCATCCTTACCCAGTACTCTGTGTATAACGATAGCACTGCTCACTCAATGGTCGTAACATATGAGCAATACTTTGAAGATATCTAAGATCGAAAAATCTGATAGGTAGCTGCGAAAGCTGTTTATTTTGCGACATTAAATTGATTACGATAGACGAGACTACTTCTACACTAATCATTTTTTGCGCCGACTAGTGGGTTGTTCTTATGTGATCAAGACCCGATGAGAAGAAACAAAATTACATTCACGGTGATTTACAAATCAATCAAACGATTATAAATTACAAAATCTTATCAACTGAGTAATTATCGCTGAACACAAAATCACAATAAAGTAGTCAATACAAGGAAAAGTGTGTAGAACATCAAATAACTAATTGCAACTAAAACTACACTAAAAGTTAACGGATAGAATTTACACTGAGTAATCTAACATAAAGAATGAGTTAAGAATTGATTTAATCGTAGTCATCTTAACCAATATGCAAAATTTAGATTGATCATCTTTCCAATGTAATATGGGTATAGAGAATCACCAGAAATCCTGCACAATATACATGTCTTTTGTTTTTAAAGATTATGTTCCACTGACATACAGTGGTATAGAATGAACTGTTGATCAGTATATTCAAACTTTCGTTGGTAGGTGGACATTACATGGTTTACATTACAAGTAATGGAAGTTGGCAAACGCCATCCCAGTATTCTGAATCCATACAAAGATTTAGTCAGACACCAACTCACTCGAGGATGAGACTTCTAAAATAAGTGGAGCGGTTGATGCACTCAACTACTTTACTCCTTATCGTTAGTTCAGAAGTTGACGCAGACCAGTCATGAAGCAATATTTTGCTTTAGAGGGAGAGAAACGTATTCCAAACATGCTTGCATTGTTGATGAAGGCGATCAGAAGACTGCACTTTGTCGGCGTCTCCACCAAACACAAATGTCTTTTGTGTATTCCAGGTGAACAAGTGGTTCTCCTGATGAGATCAAATCTTAAAAAGTCAGATGAGTGTTATCTCTGGAAGAATATCCAAGGTAAAGTTAAATAAGAATGAAAGTGAACACCCTTAAGCTTAAATTTGGTCCTCGCATTTGAGGCATATATCAAAGATGTTGTTGACTAATAGTAATTATCTGCTACCCACTTTTCATAAAGTAGTTTTTTTAAAGGTTAGTACATGTGTCTATGATGCATTTGGTCATAATTTCAGTTTGAAATTTGCGGAATTTGATTTACCTCAAAGTTCATAATGTGACTATAAGTTTCGATCAGATTTTCACTGTAGAAAGGCGTTTCGCCGAAGAGCATTTCATACATCACAACTCCGAGAGACCAGTAATCACATTCAACACCATAAGTCCCATGGCCATCTTCAGAAGCCCGCAAAATTTCTGGTGATATATAGTCTGGTGTACCGACGGCTGTATTGTTCTTCACTAGTCCATTTTCGCCAAGTTTTAAACAGGAACCAAAATCAGCAAGGACAATGTGACCTGAGCTATAGCAACAAAAAGAAGAACCTTATTGGCAAGTGGTTTATGTGTAGTAGGTAGATGAACTGTTGATGTTAGTTTTAATATTATTAAACGTTAGTGTGACCACCCTCCACAACTCATTTGATTTTCAAAAATATACAATGAAGCAAATCACAGTGTACTTCATCTAAAGAAATATAGCTAGCTAATCTCATAACTTTATTCTAAAAGTTAAGATACAACTTAATAAACGCGATTAATGAGTCTCAAATATATTAAGCTATTTTGCCACGAACCTAGTTATACCAGTACATCCTGAGTCTTTGGTTAGTCGATCAAGTCTAACAAAATTGTCAATAAACGTTTTAGTGATCTAGCTACCACAAATCGATTTAGCTCCTGATCCATTTGCATTACATGTGGACCCGAAGCAGTTCCTACACGTCGAGTCATGCATAAATCTGGATATCTGACGACTGATATGTTTTTTAAACAAAGATGTGAGGAATTTTTAGATCTAGGTATATGAAACGTGATTCAAAACCTATAAAAAATGAGTGATTAGAATTCCAGACTATTTTGCCAGTGTTGGTCTACATCAATGATAACAATGAAGACAAAGTATAATAAACTGACCAAATCAAGAGACGTGAAGTACGAATGAAGTGCTTGGTATCACTGACCATGTTTAGAACCGTAGATATGCTACAACACGTCAGAAATTTATCAGGGAAATTCTCAGAATCAAACTTAACTTTTTCTCCAGGTGTCTAAGATGTAAAAAACTCAGGATAGACTGTACTGCTGTTTTATAAATTACCAGTGAACAAACTCGGAGGTGCCATTCATCATAAAACCCACCTTTGTAGCAACACGTTATCTGGCTTTATATCTCTGTGAACATAACCCAGTTGATGCAAGGCGTCAATGGCCAAGACCATTTCAGAAACGTAGAACTGTACAATGCTTTCAGGTATCTTGTCGTCAAACTTGCTCAACATGGTAAGCATATCCCCACCATTGTAAAAATCCATAAGAAAATACTTAGTTTACCATTAGATAAAAAGCAAAGTTACCAAAAACTTTTCATCCTGAAATGTGTGGTGTAATTTGGCCAGCCACAGAGATTTACTGACCATTGCCTTCACCATCACATCACGCTCCTCTTGAAAACACGCTCTCTACAAGTATCCTAAGAAGCATTAAATGACTTACATCTGAACGTTTGAGCATATCGTACTTATGGAGAGATTTCAAAGCATATATCTTTCCATCATTTTTCCACTTAACAACTGATACGTCTCCAAAAGCCCCTGATCCAATCAGTCTTATGGTTTCAAATTCCGACTTTGATATCCAACAACTTTCAATCTTGTCGACATACTTTTTTACTAAAGACAGTAAAAAAACTGAAGCTTCCTACCAGCATTATAGAACTTCATGCAGTTCCTCTCATTTTTGTGTTGAGGGAGTTTGCATTCATAAGACAGGCAAACGATTGTGTCTAACAGGTATTCTACGCTAACAGAGTTGTCCTCTAGCAGGGGTGAACTTTTAGTATAAAGAGAGACAAGTTCATTAATCCTGTCGTGTAGCGTCCTCATTTATCTCTCCAGAATGTATAACAAGCCAGAAAATCCCATCATACCTCCCCAAAAGTGCAGCAGCCAATTAGAGCGCCAGAGTATGAGCAATAAGTCTATGGCGGTACCCTCAAAAATGGTATAACCCTTCAAATCAAATTCATGTTACAATATCTTAGTCTAACTTTCTTCACTCTAAAAACATGTATGTTTGTAATTATGATTTTCAAAGTGGATTAGTAAAACTTTGCTTTCTTAAATTCACCTTGTCTATCAAAATTGGCTGAAATTAATGTTCAGAAGTACCTTGTTTTTTCGAAGTTTCCTCTTGAATAAACTGAGTTGTATCTAGTTTAGAGCAAACAGATACACACACATCTACCGCGGATAAATCGAAAACATTGTGATTTGAAATGTAATGAAGAAGAAAGGTCGACCATATAACTGTCAATCACGAGCACGCGTTAGCTCGATCCAGACCTAACATCTGGAAAGCAAACATACCAGATATCATGCACTCAGCATTGCTAGTAGGTTGGACAATAGACCCAGAGTCCTCAGTTGAAACGGATTGGGACGCATTTTGAGATTTATACTCAAAAGTTACCGCACCTCACATCCCTTGGACTATACCAAGGGGGTCGAGAAACTCTCCACCATGGTTCAGTAGGGAGGTTCGCATCCTTCTGCGTAAGAGAAGAAAAATGTGAGATAGATTTAGGTTACTGGGGACTGATGAGACAAAATCTTAGCACCGAAAAGCTCGGAATACCTGTGCCTCGACACTCCGTACGTCTAGAAATTTGTACGAAGAAAACGTTATTAAGGAATCTATTGAATGTCCCAAACGCTTGTATCCCTGTAATAACCAGAGGACAAAAAGAAGAGGTAATGTTCCTGCACTATGGGGAGACAGTACTGCCGTATCATTAGTGGACGACTTTGATAAGGCCCAAGTGTTCTCGAACCACTTTAGCAATGTATACACCATAGAAGCACCCTTCCCGTTAGCGCATACAAATCTCCCCACACATACACTAGATAGCGTGACCATTAAAGAACTTGATGTCTTTGGTCTGCTAAATAAGCTCAACATAGGTAAATCAACAGGGCCCGATGAATTGCATCCAAGGCTACTGAAGGAATTATCCAACTTCGTTGCGAACCCTTCAAGTATATGCTTTAACCTATCCGTAACGCAGAGTTGTTTACCAAAAGATTGGAAGAACGCCTGTATTCAAAAACAGGTACAAAACATAGACCTGAGAATTACCGACCCGTTAGCCTAACTAGTGTGGTTGTTAAGATCTTAGAAAAGATTATTCAGAAGGAGCTGCTTAAGTACGTCGATGAAAACCGGATCCTTTCGGAGAAACAGCACGGTTTCAGAACAAATTATTCTTGTCTCACTAACTTATTAGTGGCTCGTGAAAGCTGGTGTGCTCTTAAGGACCAAAAGCTACCTGTAGACGTCGCCTTCATTGATTTCAGTAAAGCTTTTGATAAAGTTCCGCACAACCGGCTGTTATATAAGTTAAGACATGTCGGGATTGGAGGTAATTTATTGATGTGGATAAAAGACTTCTTAGTTGGGCGTCAACAAAGAGTAAGGGTGAACTCCAAGTTGTCTAGCTGGGAAACTGTGCTTAGTGGAGTGCCCCAGGGTACAGTTTTGGGGCCAGTGCTATTCCTCTTGTATGTAAATGACCTTCCTCGTCTCCTATCATCATCGGTCTTGCTATAAGCTGACGACGTCAAGATATGGAGAACGATACGATGTAAGGATGATAACTTAGAACTCCAAAATGACCTGAAGAAATTATCGGAATGGTCTCAAACATGGCAGTTGCCGATAAATACTTCCAAGTGTGTTGTAGTGCATATCGGTCATCAAGGTACAGATACATACACGATGAATAACACTGAGCTACCTGTTGTCCAGACACATACTGACTTAGGAGTCATCGTTAGTCAAGACTTAAAGACTACTGCACACTGCCGCGCAATAGCCCCCAAAGGTTTTAGAACGTTATGGTCAATACGTAGGGCTTTTAGTCATGTCGACGCTAAGACGTTTTTGACTTTGTACGCAGTGTTCGTACGTCCTAAACTTGAGTACTGCATATAAGCCCCTGCTTAAAAAAAGACAGTGAGCTTCTGGAGAAGGTTAAAAACAGCAACTAAGCTGATTCCCGGAAAAGCGAAGCCTCCGCATGATGCTCTACTGGCGAAGCTGAACCTTTCCTCGTTGCCATATCGTAGAACTAGGGGCGACTTGATTGCAGTTTTCAAGTTGCTTAGTGATAAATTTACACCTGATATGCCCTCGTTTTTTTTGTCTTCCAAAACAGAGAATTTAAGGGGACACTCCAAAAAGGTCACAAATCCAGAAGAAATTACTTGTCAGCTGACTATCGACTTTCCCATCGAATCATCAACGAGTGGAATTCATTACTTCAGCACGTGGTTGAGGCTCTATCCGTCAACTCTTTCAAAAGAAATTTGGATCAGCTGAGAGACCACCATTGCCAGGACTAACACAGGCCATCAAGCCTCCTGTCCTTTCCGATCTGAAACTGACTTTGTTTGCACTTGTTCTGTTTATGCTTGCTTTTGTGTACTTGATGCGTCAGAAATCATTCTTGGTCTACTTTAACTTTAAGCATTTTGGTTAAGGCTTGGAATCTTGCTAAACTTTGTCTTTTGGTACCTTCTTTCTCATTGCCTCTGACACTTGTGTTCATATTATGATAATATGGTGTTTTTAACCTTAATCTGATTACAATGGTTGGTAGTACTTATAAATGTGGACAGCCAAATTGTTTATTCCCCGTGGGAAGAAGGAATGCAGTGCTATGAGTGTAAAATTGGTTCCACAAGATGTGTAGTCGTTTAGGTCCCACCGCATACAAGATACTCGAAGCCTAACTCGCATTGCGTTTCTACGTGTTTTGTTGTACAACTAAGACGTTAGTCATCTAGGGGACTATGAGCCTATTGGCTTTGGCCCGTAAAAAGAAAGATGGTGGTTGCACTAGTAACACGAGCACTGACAAAGAAGAATATGCCAGTGTAGTACGTACCGTTACGAGATGTGTTAAACACCCGACCGTGAAATCTCCGTTAAAACTAACGGGGATTGAAGCGCCACTTGATATTGACACTGGTAGTCATGCATCTCTAGTGAAAATTGATGGCCCGGATAAAACCATCACCGTTCCAAATAGTCCAGGTGTAGCTGTCCTGACTGATGAAAAATGGACTGCAGTACGGAGAAAAAGAAATGAGGAGAAAAATGCCGTTGGAATTACGCACTTAGTTGGCATGTCATTGGTGAACTCCCATTCCGAGTCACGAAATGCATTACCAAATTCTAATAGTAAAACAGAACACCACTCTAGCGTGACCGAGAAGAATTTACTCTCATCGAGTATTGTTGAGAGTAATTTTCTGGAGTCTAACAGTCCTGATCCCAAAATTAGACACGCGCATGATTTGGAGAAGCTTGTAGAATTATGGTCTACTATGACATTAGTGCTGCTCTAATAATAGACCTAATCCTAAATGTGTAGATTTGTCATGATATAACTGCCTAATCTATAAGATCTTACGTGGAAGTCACACCATCGACTACGCCAACTCACTGTATCGTATCAATTACTAATACGTGATGTAGAACAAGGTTAGGCTAGAGAAAGAACAATATATTTAATATGAATAGAAGATATAAGATAACATTCAGCAGGGACCACGCCTGCATGGCCGAGCCATGCCGTTCGATCAACTCTAGTCCATTCAATTCATTATTCGCGCCTTCCCCATCGTTGGGTATTTCTCCGCGTTAAATATTGAATATCTATTTTCTGAGTAGTCTCGTGTTCACAGCTTTGTGGATTGTGTGGCTATTGTCCAATGCCACTACAAGCTAAGAGAATATATCCGTAGCATCTTACCAGATAACACTAAAGGAGTTCAGGACAAAAAATTCATAAGAATAGGTGAGAGGACCGATGACAATGTTGACCTTCGTCCATATTGGCTCTTAAAGGTAATCCTACGGTCGGAGAAGCAACGTGATCTTCTGTTAAGTGGCGATCGTGGTCACGATAACACCGAAATTCGAGTAAGACCTGATATGTTTCTTGAAGACAGAATAAAAAGGAAGACACCACTATCCGAACTGGATACCTATCGACAAAACGGTGAGAAAATTCTCCAATTAGTGGGTTTTCCAATAGTCAGGTCTTGGAAGCGAATGTTCAGGTAAACCTGAACTCCTTATTCCATTTGATCCGTCTATATCATATTAACTAATCAACGGTTTGAAATCAGTTAGCTTATCTGAATATGTTAAACAATTGTCTGGAACATTAAAATAACACAATCTCTCAATTACAAATACATCCGTTTTTGAATTCAGTCTTTTATCTTGTTTGCATATCTTATTTATTTATCTTCATTTAATGCATGCTGTGACATTTTTGATTCATTTCATATATAAAATGATATGTTTTCCTTAATATACACAGACCGAAGACAATATATAGTTGAATGAAGTTTCTTCTCACATCACTTACGTATACACACAATCTGTTATCTTAACACTTTTTGTTTCACACCACATATCTCTTACACACTAATGTAAATACATACTTTAAACATTGTTAACGTTGATTGGATGACTTATTCAGTATACAGTAAACCAGAGAACCATGTACCTATTTATATTCGATAAGTTTGTTGTTTGATTATATTTTCCTTGAAAAAGCTTGGACCAGATTGCCAAGGGAAACGTTGGATTTACTTCAAATTCCTTCACTGAGATTTTACAAATACATTCTCCCTCTTTAATGACTCACATTAACTCGGCGCCCAAATATTGTGAAACTATTCGTTCTTATCTAACATTCAGCTATGTTGTGCAAATAACAGATTCTTGGTATTATGAGATTTTAATGCACTTGATATTAATTGGACTGAGGTGACCATGGAAGGATCTATAAAAGCAAAGAAGGATGTGTGGAAGGTATTAATCAATTATCCAGGAAACAACACGGTTTTTGCAGTGGCTTATCATTCACTTGGTATTGTTTGGCTTGTATCTTCCCATTGAGGTTTAA